TATCAAAGTCACTAAAACTCGAGACAACGAAGTAAAGATCATATTCTGTAGTGACACAGCCAGGAATTGAATTCGTAATTTCGGAACCGGCGTGAGAGCTAATAAGCTATCTTAACCGAAATTTTAGATAAGCAATGGCAACCCTGATTTTGTGACTAATATAAGACTTGTGCGGATCTGACTGTTTATGTTAAAAACACATTTATAACGTTGAATTGATGAGTGTGCATCGTTGTTGACGCACAGATTAGGAACTGATTGATAGTCCAAGAGATTTGGGTATAGAATGCAACTGATATGCACGATCGAAATAAAACTAAATGAAAACCCTGTCATATGATATAACGTATGTAAAAAGCTGAGGAAATACACTTAATCAGGAACTAAATTAATACAAAATGGATTGTTACGAAACAAACGAAATCCTCATAAGCTGTAAATAAAAAAAAAAAGAGATTGAATCATTATATTTATTATAGTATAAGAGACAAAAAAGTTTACAAACGGTTGATACTTCAGTATGTAGAAGTACTAAGGCCACACATAATGGTAGAAATCCTTTTGCATAAACTAGACTTATACAATCAATAAAAACTATTCTATTCTTTTTGTGCCAACCAAATAGGATAAGAGAATTTTGTAATATGGAATTATCAATAAATATTATTATACGTAATTTCGTTTGAATTCTATATAACTGAGATGACTGGGTCTAATAGGGGTGTAGACAACCTTTTTATATTTTTGTTTTATAGATAAACATGGAATATATCTAAAAAATATTTTTAAAAATGTCATTCGTATAATAAGTAAAAATCTAAAAATAAATTTAATTTAAATTAGATTTAATCTACTTTGTATTCACAAAGTTATACTGAAAAATATTCTAAATGAAATTCTTAATGAATGCTTAAAAGAGCCACTTTGTCCATGGCTCTCTGAGATGGCACTTGCACCAATGACCTTTCGCAATTCGGGCGACTGCTCTAACCACTGAACTACCCAGGACCTAACAGGACTGACGATTTTTTCAAACACTTTAAATTTCAAAACTTCCCGCGAAAACGCCACTTCTGTGATGGGGTCGCTCTGAAAGTAAGGTCGTTCTATGTATGCAAAAGGTATGCAGAGAATCAAAGGAATTCTCTAAGTTCTGAAATGAATAAGAATGGCGTAAGGTCACGCGCTATTTGCGGTCACGTAACAACGAGCATAAAATATATGTTTTTTTATAATTAATTTGAGAAATATAATAAATATAATAAGCATAAAAGTGTGATTATCGGTAATAGTGTCTTAAATACTACTAGAAAAAAAAAAAAAAATATTTTTCGTTTACAGCCGTATTCTGTAAATAACAAAGTTAACATAGACTTACTTATTATATTTATTTTACTACTATTATTTATCAGTTTAAAGCGTTATAAGGAATATTAAGAAGTGTAATAAAAAAAAAATTAGAACAGACTTCAAACATAAAAAGTGAAAAGTAATACTTATCTCAAAAGCGAATTATTCAAGAAAACGCTAATAAAGGAGGTTTTCTGTAGGTTATTAATAAAATGATTATAATGATGGCGTCCAACTTCAACAGCATTTTCTTGAAGAAGTCGCTTTTGAGATAAGAATTATTTTTCACCTTTTTTAAGACTGAAGTCGGTTCTATTATTTTTTTAAAGGTTTTACTTCATTCTTTTTAGTGATATTGATATTTTTTTATTCTGGGTGTATCAAAAGAAAATACACGTTTGTTTTGCTTGTTGCGTGAACGCAACTATTCCGAGCGGCGCAGGGGGTATGTCAATCGGTAGCCTGGCTCTTAGGAATTTAGTCGTTAGGGAACGTTTCTCGGGAGCAGACCGTTCGTTGTGCGTACGTTGGTTTTACAAAAACGGTAATTCGGCGAGTGTAGCGCGTAGAGGATTCTGCAATATTCGCCAAGCGCTCGACTTATTGGTAAATGGGTCGAGAAGTGTGAAGAGACTGGTTCAACACTGCATAAATCAAAATATGGGTGTCCAAGGTCTTCGAGAACGGTCAAAAACGTAGACAGTGTTACTCAGTCTGTTCGTGATGACCCAAACCTTTCGATTCGTAAACGTGCTGTTGCTTTGGACGTACATAGATCGTCATTATTCAGCATTCTACACGAAGATTTAAAGCTGCACCCCTACAAAATTCAGTTGGTGCATGAATTGAAGCCTTAGGATGCTGGTCAAAGGGTTAACTTCATAAACCAGATGACTGAGCTATTTTCATTTTAATGGGCACGTAAACAAGCAAAATTTCCGCTACTGGAGTACTAACAATCCAAAACACAAACATCAGAAAGTGACGGTGCTGCAATGTCGACGCAAGGGATTATCGGTCCTTACTTTTTTGAAGATGAAAGGGAACGTACACTAACATTGACTTCAGAGCGTTAAGTAGAAATGTTAGACGACTTCTTCGTGCCTGAACTGCAAAACGTTTCTGGTTATAACCAAAGAACATGGTTCCAGCAAGACGGAGCAACTTCACACACGTCCAACAGGTCTCTGCGACGAGTGAATGAAATTTTTCCTGGCAAATTGATCTCAAGGAGAGGCGACATAAGTTGGCATCCACGCAGTCCCGATTTAACACCTATGGACTTTCTCTTATGGGGTTATGTTAAAAGTTTACGCCAATAAACCGACTGCCTTGGCACAATTAAAAGAAAATATCCGTAAGGAAATGCAGTCATCACGGAGAATACCTTATAGAGATCATTCAGTAAATAAAAAGAACCAAAAGCATTGATTAAATATGTAAATAATATAAACGATTTTTAATTTTGAAACAATAACAACAGATTCATGTGAAACACCTATAAGGCGTAGGTTGTAGTTACGACTACAGCTATGTCCATGAGTAAGGCGGTCGCGGCCGAGGTCAAACTGAGAACCTCCTTTTTTGAAGTCGGTTAATAAAAATATATTAATAAAAATATGTAATAAATATGATTAATCCCTCGGAGGGGAATCCCTCGGATTAATCATAAAATAAACATGAAAACAAATAAAATGTGAATATTATCTTCTATTTTTGTAGATTTTCTCGCGACTTCGACAGAGTTAATTATGTAGTTATGTAGACCTATGATTTCCCGCAGGTGAAAGAATTTTTAAAGTCGGTCCCGTGGTGACGGAGCCTATTCAATGTAAACAATTAAATCTTTCCTCTTTATAATATAAGTATAGATAAGAAAACGGGTATCCAATAAAATCTCTATAAATAAAATAAGACGATGTGTACTTGCGCTGGGGCCCGATCGCGCTAAATATTTTCAACTGAACTGTAGCTGAACCTCAATCGAAACACGATTTTATAAACATTCGGTATCGCCATAATAATTTGACGGATAGTTGAAACGGATGTGAAACGCAACTGAAGCTGAGCCGCTGTCAAACTGTGAAGTTGAACTGAAGCTACTTTTTCTGAACCGTTCGTAAAACCTCGGTAGTGTTTTTGATATTTTTGTATTAAAATTAAGTGAAAATGACCTATTTGGACTTTCTTGAAAGGGGCCACGAGTATGACATATCAGTTGCTCGAGCGCATACTAAAAAAGAAAACTTGCGCACAAGAATAAGTGAAGCTTTTTCATTAGGAAATCGATAGTTTATAAAGTGTTATATACTGTCGAAAGAGCTACCTAGCTCGAAATGAGCTAACTCCTCATATGCCTCCCACCTTGCGTGCGGATGCTTTGGACGTAGATACTAAGGTAAGTAACTAAATATGCATTAATACTTAACCTAACATATACTTTTCTACTATACTTTTGCAAGCTTACTTAGTGTACGAACTATTCAAGCATATTGCATATATGATATTGTTGCAGGTTCTAGTTGCATTAGCATTCTATGCAACTGGATCATACCTGACCAGAGATAGCCAAACACACTGTATTTCTCAAGTGAGTGTATCTAAAGCAGTCTGGCAAGTGATAATGGCATTAAATATGCCCACTATTTTAAACAAATTTAGTTTCCATTTCAAGAATGTGAAAGGGAACATACCTATAAAAAGAGAGTATGTATACATTCATCATTTGATAAATTTATTTTATTCAGTATGATACCATGTTAAAGAATCCATACCTTATAAAATTATTAAGCTTTTATATTTATATATTTAAAATTTCAGGTTTTATAGAAAATTGGACTGTTGGGCTGTATTGATGGAATCCACATTGTAATTGTGTGCCGTCATGAGCATAAGGAAATATTCCTCAACAGGAAAAGATACCATTCTTTTAATGTTATGATAGTAAGTATCCAATTAATTACATGATATTGTATCATTGAAAATAAATCATCATCTAAACATTCATTTGCAAGTTCATTGGATTTGATTACAGATGTGCCATTCAAATCTAAATATTTTATGTGTGGACTGCAGTTACCCTGATCCACACAGCACAGTATCGTGTGGGGCAATCATCCTCTGAATGACTACTTGGAAAGGTTGCATCGAGTTTCTAGAGAAGATGTCTATCTTTTAGGTAAGTTTGTTAATTTAACTCAACAGTTCCCAGGCATGTAGATGTACAATTAAACAATGTGATATATGAACTGCACCCGCGGGACTGATTGGTTAAATTTTCATTGTTACCACGATAAATAATTTTACACTTTACATAATACTCATTTTACCTACAGGTGCCTGTTGGTGAACAGAAAACTACATTACACCCCCACAGCCGCTGCGCTGATCACGAATGCACAACATAGCTCATAGAGCTCATGTTATGTACACGCTGCTGACGGCGGAGGAGGCAGCGCGCGAGTGGCGTCTAACGGAGGGCGCGCCAGCTGCCGCACTGCGCCCTCCGTTAGCTCTAGGAGCTGCAGTTCGGCCATGAGCGCCTAGATGCACTTATACAATGTTTGTGGACCAACAAGGGAATATAATAATAGCAGTTACTTACAATAGAATAGATTTAAAATGTAAAAGTGAATAAAACAAAATTTAATAAAATCAAAATCGTTTATTCAGTCTAGTCTTTTACAAGCACTTTTAAAAGTCGAAACTCTATGCCATCGGTTCGTAAATCTACAATGGGAGACCTTGTACCAAGAAGAACCGGCAAGACATTCGGCAAGGGCTGGTTTTTTCTTCCTGTTTTATTTCATACCGAGTCACTAAGATTGAAAACTGACTATTAAAATAGTCACTTTCTATTACAATATTAGAAAATATAAAAAAGTACAAATATATTCACTCGTCAATCCTGTACCTGTATAATAATAGTTAGTTTTGTTGACATTTTTCATTAAAAATATTTATTCATCACTTTCGGCTATTAACTTAAAAGATTCAGCCAATAGCTAAATCAATTCCGAATGATTTAATTCAGCCTGAGCCCTAACTCTTCACACCTTCACAATGTGGCTCTTGACTCCTTTAGGGCAGTTTTGTTACCTGAAATAATATTTTTCTAATTATATCTTATTTTTTTTAAGTAATTTAGTATATTATACCTTATTTTTCTATATATTAAGATAATTATAATGATTATAATAATAATATTTATTTGCCTTTAAATAAGGTATATTGTAGGTGGAAATAGAATATAAAAAGTCCAGCCCATTTAGCCATCAACAATAGCATGCAAATATATTGATGATAAAATCACATCATATTCTTCATTAATGATAATATGAAAACAATTTTATTGCTATATCCAGACCACATTTGGCTTTAAAGTTCAAGTTTATACTCAGAGATAGGTCGCTGAACTTACTTTGGACATGAGAAGGCCGTGCTGTCTTGAGGGTGCTGCTGGTGTGGAGGTTAGCAAGGGGAGACAATCTGCCCTACATCTCCATGGTGGCCTAATAACTCTTTCTGTATAATAAAAATATATTATTAAGTTAAACTACATAGCTAATTTCTATGACTTTATATTTGTTGAGTTAGACATTACATTACATTGCTTTTTTTGAAATTTTGTTGATGTGAAATTAAACACATATTAACTCATACTCTCATTTAAATAAGGAAAATAATTATATCATGCTGTATCTACTAAGTTGGGATGACATTTAAAAACTTAGAAAACACAAACAACATGTATGATTTATATATTTTGATTTTAATCTACATGTATTTGGTAAAACCATCTGTAACGTTAATTTAATCCGAGCCTACCTTTGCCTATTCTTTGCGGATCCCAAAGGATTGAGCAATTCAGCGCATTCACGCCAACCATTCCGCTAAGGCTCGAGCTTCCTTGGACCTCACCCGTCCAAAGGCGAGGTCACGATGTCCTGCTACAAACTCAAGAAGAGCTTCGAGTTGACGGACCGTTGTTGATTTGCGATTGCTTGCCATTTCTACACCAAAAAAATAGTTTGATACGACTTACATACAAATTTCTTTTCTTGGTTAAATATTTGAGCTTCAACAAAGAAAATACTCACTCAGTTTACATTCACGAAGTGCACACACAACACGAATGAGGATTAAGTCGTCCAAAAAGCTACGTTTCAGTCACAACCACTTAATTTAACTTTGTTAAATACTTTTTATCCACTTGAGTCAAATTCTTGTTATTCCCGCTATTAACATTCCTTCTAGATCTGTCAAATTTAGTGCTGACAACGCTATAAACGGTCAATCGATTGTCGATTATATTGAAATAACAGGTAAAAAATAATAGTACTCGGGTACATCTCTAACGTTCCAATAACGTTCAAGGTTCAGCTCCGGTTTCGTTTCAGTTAACGTTTCAACTTTAGCGCGATACCAAAATATTGGTCAACTGGACTTTTACTGCAATTGAACCGAAACTGAACTTCACACGTTCTGTATGAAATTAATTTATCGCAATCGGGCTCCTGATTCTATTCCATAGTCCTAAATATTTTGTATGTAAGATTACGAATAAGTAACAAAGTCGACGGAGGTCAAACTGATATTTAAAAGACGCAACAAAATCTAAAACGACCCCAGACGTCATCGTCTGAGCACAACTTAATGGCAGGCCATCATTCGTCTGCTCCAATGTGAAACGGAACGTAATCATAAAAAAGGCGGGAAAATAAAAAATAAGAACGGCAGGCAAATTGTTTTAAATAGCAGGTGGGGCCGCGTCCGACTGACCTACAGACAGCCTGTTATTGCTTAAAAAGTTTAAAACACATTTTAGGACCTCCGTAATGGAGAACAAAACCTGCCATCAAAATGAAAATTTTTCGCCCGCGCCAAATCGTAGTAATAAAAAATTATGTGCATTCCTATAAAGCTCTCGTGATGTTTTCTTTAGTGGCGTTCAATAAAAAAAAGCTTAGCTGTGCTATCACCCGTTAAAATAAAATAAAAATGTTTTTTAGAACCTTCGAACAACAATAAGATAACGCTAAAACAATGATCAATTCATTGTCGTCGTTCAGAAGCATTGTCAATTTTATTTTGCTTAGTAAAATATACGTGTAATTATATACGTTGATAATTTAGGGAGCTAGGAGGTTTACAATTATAAAATCTATTATCTTTGCACACATTATAATTTAAAAATGACGTTACAATGTTAAGAAGGCAATTTACAGCGAAATAATTTTTCAGTACTATTGATTCTATCTATCTACCAAAGAACTGGCGAAACAAACTCCGATAAGAAAGTGATTACTCTCTATAATTTTAATGTTTACAGAAAGAACTAATTGTTACTTTAGGTTTTGCGGTGTGTGATCTGGGTTGAGATTTTATTTGACTCATTATTTGATCCGAAGTCGATGGTATATTCCAACCTTCATCTCAATAAAAAACTATTAACATTCAATCACCGATTTAAGTCACTTTCAGGGAACACATCTTGTGCTTTAAATAGTTTCGTTATAAATAGATACTCAAAATACTTATAAAACACCCAGAGCGATACAAACCTATATCTATGTTCATGCACGCGACTTTGTAATCGATTACACGATCCACTACACAAAGATGGTTTTCAATTATTATTTAAATTTTTGGCAAAAAAAATATAATATGTACACTACTCCATGTATGTGCTGTCTTAGAACATCGAATATTTGGCCCTCTATTTTTGAATGACTGCCATGATGGCGCGTGGCTTGGGTCAGAAACAAAACTCAGTTATTTTATTGAAAACACTTTGATTATTAATTATAGACATTGTAAAACCACATTTACAACCCGTAAATATGATTTCTAACAAATACATTTTTTATTCCGATAGTTATATTTGCAATTTTAATACACACAGTGACATCGTAATACGTCCGAACGTTGCCGCTGTCGCAAACTAAATCAAAATAAGAACCCACTTTGAAGTGAGGCGTTATGTTTTCGGCCATCTTTGAGACTCTGACCGGACATATTTTTGTATTGTTGATCGAAGTTTAGAAAATCATGTTTATGTAATGGTATAATAACGGATACAAACATTATGTGAGTATATAAACATAGATTCAGAATCGCGCACTGTGGGTTCCATACAAATATTAAATTATAAAAAAAACCATAGACTTCTCTCTAGAATAAGATTTACAATAGACAATTTTCTTATGATTTTTAAATAGGTTCAATTTTATTTTAAAATTAATTGATTAGTAGCAAAACTTTTTGAAAAAAAAAGGAACCATAAATGTGGATGCCATTTTTCAAAAAAATCCACGAACACTGTGTCTAAATAAATAAATAAAAAATAAATAAAGATGTAAAAAAATTACAAATAGGGAATATGCGTCTGATGCAAAAAAGGGTTAAATATATTTTATTACAATCGTTATTGTTTTGGAATAAAGTATATCTAAATATTATTCAACATTAGTTCGTTTTCGTCTTGAAAATAATTATTAAAAAGTGCAAAATAAATGCGGTAACTTTAAAATATTTAAACGCCATGCTACTTGTCAGAGCGGATGTGACGAAAATGTACATGTATAGGGATGTCGTTGTTACAAAAAGTTAACATCGATGCAATAACATCAATGTATTATGTCCCAAAATAAACAACCGATTACAATTTAAATGATTAGTTGTTAATTGATTTGGGTAATTGAATAATAATAACTCACTCAAAATCCATATTGATTTAAAGTGTCATATCTCTAGTCGTGTACTTTGACGTCACGACGAGCGCGCCAAAAATTCCGGTGTTTAAACTGCTCGTAGCTATTACTTATTTTCATCAATGATTAATATTACAAAATTTTAATTTTTCGGTGCCAGGTATTTTTTTAGTTATATATCGATGTAAATTATCATATAAAAACATTTTCCAAACATGTGCATATTCCCTATTACACAACTTATATTATAATATATACACACCGTGCCACATGAATAGGACCAGTGCATTTTCCTTTGCTCTTTAAAATATGAATCAAAATAAATATCTAGAAATAAAAGGTATTTAAATCTTAAGGCATGCCACGTTTAACTATAAACAATTGAACACCAAAAACACTCAACAAGGCGCTCGCAACAATTCCTATAGTCAATGTGTCGCGCCACTTGAATACGACCATTGAATAAAATATTATATATATTAATATTAAATTTTATTATTAACATTTTTATTGATTAATAATCAATTCCTTTTCCATTCTTTTGAATTAAATAAAAAATACGGGATGGCATTGAGTCGTAAAGTTTTCTTATAAATGTAATTGGTAATTTGCTCCAACACTTAATTATACCTTCCATGAGCTCGTGCTTGGTGTTATATTGTTTACTGTTCTTATAAACTTCACGTGACAGCCATCCTCACACATTTTCAATTATGTTCAGGTCGGTGGAGAGTGATGGCCAATCGAGAATATTTATATTATTTTGTAGAAACCACTCGCGAACGTTACGTGCACTATGAATACTAGCATTATCGTGTTGAAAAATAAAACCTTCATTCCCTATTGCACTGCTTAGCTTACATTTCTCATTCTGCAGAAGTTTAATGTAAATTTTAGAGCTTTTCTACCTTCTATTACCACTAAACTAATCGGTCCATTATATGATATTGCACCCCAGATCATTACTGACCGTGCATCGTTTCGCCGCCGTGATAAAATTATTTGATTTTTCGTAAGTCATGAAAATATTTAAAAAAAAGTTTAAATTAAACGGCCCTGATTGGTATTCTTATTATGTTTGATCTGTGGTATTTGATCTGGAGTGCAATATCATATAATGGACCGATTAGTTTAGTGGTAATAGAAGGTAGAAAAGCTCTAAAATTTACATTAAACTTCTGCAGAATGAGAAATGTAAGCTAAGCAGTGCAATAGGGAATGAAGGTTTTATTTTTCAACATGATAATGCTAGTATTCATAGTGCACGTAACGTTCGCGAGTGGTTTCTACAAAATAATATAAATATTCTCGATTGGCCATCACTCTCCACCGACCTGAACATAATTGAAAATGTGTGAGGATGGCTGTCACGTGAAGTTTATAAGAACAGTAAACAATATAACACCAAGCACGAGCTCATGGAAGGTATAATTAAGTGTTGGAGCAAATTACCAATTACATTTATAAGAAAACTATACGACTCAATGCCATCCTGTATTTTTTGTTTAATTTAAAAGAATGGAAAAGGAATTGATTATTAATCAATAAACAATGTTAATAATAAAATTTAATAATAATATATATTATGTTTTATTCAATGGTCGTATTCAAGTGGCGCGACACATTGACTATAGGAATTGTTGCGAGCGCCTTGTTGAGTGTTTTTGGTGTTCAATTGTTTATAGTTAAACGTGGCATGCCTTAAGATTTAAACACCTTTTATTTCTAGATATTTATTTTGATTTATATTTTAAAGAGCAAAGAAAAATGCACTGGTCCTATTCATGTGGCACGGTGTGTAGAATTTATATAAAACCAACACAATTTAAAGCGCTGTTATCATTTTGGGTGTTCTGATGATTTGCTATTTCTATAAAGAAAAATGGAATTGGGTAATTTAGGTACATATAGGGGCATTCGTGTGTTCATTTGTTGGTTCTGCCACAGCTAATTTGCTTCGAAACTACTGAACTCAAGTAAATAAAGTTGAATACCGAACTTTTTTTACTAGAACGACAGTATACACTATTTCTGAAACTGATGGACCTAAAAAATGAAATAATACCGAAAGTAACTTTACGGGCACTTTCAGGGATACGGATAGGACGGTTGGCAACTCTATCTTGGACAGCCAATGATTTATATAAAGTAATATTAAACTCACCGGCTCTGTTTCACCCTGGTTATCTTTCCCGAGACCTTCGCCCTTTGACCAGCCCATTTTCTCTAATAACTTGAATCCTTTGTTCTCTGGAGCTATAAACCTGTGGAAACGACAGTTTCGATGGTTGAGATGGTCGACGCAGATGGACGCAGTGGTTAGCACGTTCGGTCTACGATACGGTAATTAATCAATTTTCGCAAAGGCCGGTCATAAGATGGGTGATCAAAAATGTATTATCTCGAGCTCTTTCGTGTTTCGGGGGGCACGTTATGCTATTGATCCTGGCTGCATCTGCAGCTTAACACCCACCAATCCACATATGCCCGCGTGATGATTCATGACCCATTCTCCCTATTCGATCGAACAACTTTCACATAATCTGTTAAAAATATATTTGATCCTCCGGGCTTTGTTAACCATACTACATCTGCGGCCTTTTACACCCACGAATCCATATTTAGCCTGTTTACTAATGGCCTCATCTTGCTAGGCGATTTTTCTGTCCATAGGGTGTTCATTTTATTAGGTATGTTTTATTTCCATGTCATTGCTGAGACATTGTCATCAGGCGCATTTAGAAATAAACTTTAATGAAAAAAAAAACCATTACCGTGCGTTTTGTTTAAATATTAGTAAATATAAATATGAGCTTATTTAAACAACGAAGGTACCACAAAACACAGACGTGGAACAATATAGAAAAGCTCATTTTCTAATTTAGCTAAGTATCACACATGGCGACACCTAGAAACCGGGTGAGAAGCCTAGGCGTGCGAGTCACCTAAGATAATTTTCTGTGTTTTTGAGAGCGAAACGTGATATCTTACGTGTCTAAATTACTGCTCTGTGTCTTCTCTGAGGGATGCGAACTGCCTACTGTGTCCCTCCGCGCCTGTGCTCTATCATTGTACGCTGAAGATTCTATGGCCAAGAGCTTCGGAGCATATTTATTCTTTAGCCGAGCCAGCTCCAACTGATGTTGTTTTTGAACACTACACGTTCTTGTATATGCTACTTTCTTTTCTTCCAATGCTGGTAAATAATTTGGAAATGTCAAACGAATAAATAACATATCTAAGATTTTATTATGTGCTTCTGCATATAAGTTGAACATTATAATATAATATTTCGTTCTGGGAACAATTTTGCAATTAATTATAAAGAAATTAAGGTTTAAAAGAGAGGTTTTGTTTGCTTGTGTACATATTTTTGGTTACCACAATATGCCAAATTTCCGCAGTTGATTTTAAATTCTACCTTTATAGAATTATGGTTTAAAATTAAGTGACAAAATTTGTCAGGTTTGTATAACCTTTGTTGACTAAATTGTTTACTCGAGAAAAAAAATCTGCTGCAAATTATAATTATACTAATTATAGTCTTCCTTCAATAAATTAAAGTTGACTTTTCTTCATCACTCTAACAAAGCGATTGCTTTTCTTTATATTTTGTATTATAATTCTTTTTTGTTATTTATATATTTAATCCAAGTATTAATTAATACTTACACATCATCAGAAGTCCTGGTTCGCAATGGCCACACGTATCTGTTCCTGGATGTATGTGACATAGTAATTTGGTCTCTCCTATTTCTAATGTGCTTCCATGTACAATCTACGAAAAAGTTGTAATATTACAATGTTATACTTTAAAATATATCTGGTATGTAGACCGCTATTACATTATTTGTTCTTTACTCTATAGCATACCATATTTCCGACTTCCTAGTCACATGTCAATCATAATTTGTTTGTGTGTGTGTGTAAGAAATTTGTATTTTAAAATAATAAGTTTTCATTACTAAAGTGCTATGGTGTTTTTCATAGTCATAAAAGTAGTCCTTCGAGCCGGATAAATATTTTTAAAAGAAATAGTAAAATCTGTAAGGTGCTGTGAGTGATAAAATACTCACTTCTGTTGATTTACTAACAGTTTGACTGTCTGACATTCGACTGCCATTAAGTATAGTCCCATTCTTGGATCCCAGATCCATTGCTAAATAAATTTTCTTCGAAGGGTTATACGTTATATTTAGATGGTTCTGAAATAAAAATTAATTACATTACTATAAAAGAATAGATTTTGTTGTTAGGAAAACACATCACAATATTTAATGACTCGTTAACATGAGTCGATGGGGTCCGAATGCAGAGTAAGAGCAATTCGTTGTTCATTTTCATTAGTAAGTATTGGTTTGTATTATATATTAATATTGATGTTCTAAATCATTGAAATGAGCCTGCAAGTTGGGACGTCAAGTTTTATTAGAATTATTTGAGTTTGAATAGATGGCGTTAGTGTCCTTATTGAATTTCGAAATGGATAGAACTTGCAATACTCTATTGTGCGTCAACAAAAAACGAAGGTGAAAAATAATTCAAGACTACCTATACTGTATTAACCTCCCGACTTCGGTAGAAGTTTCTATAGTATTTTTTTTCGTTTTTAACAGCTTGTTTAGACAATCTACATTTGATTAATACAAATAAATAACAAGATTAATTAAAAAATCTCCTTAATGAAAAAAAAAAAATACGCATTTTCATCAATCTTCAGTAAACCATCCAAAAGCCGAAAGAAACATTTTTACAAATATTTAAACTTTCGATAAAGATGAAAATTTGTTCTAACTTATTATATTTGATCAATTTTGTATTCACAATGCTATACTGAAAAATATTTTTAATGAAAAATGCTTAAAAGATCCAATTTGCCCTTGGCACTATGAGATGGGATGTCAAATATAATAATTAAAAAATCTCATCATAAAACAAAGCTCAAAATATTAATATTAAATGAATATTTCCGTAAACATTTCCAAGTATTCTCTATTTATATCACAAGCCTCTTGTGATTTTCTGCTAAGGGCGAGCGGGACCTCCTGTAACAGGTATTCATGAATACCTACTAGGATGGTCTTAACCACGATTGTAATTATGAGAAATCGTATATGAAATAGATTTTTTTTTTTCATTTTTTTTCAGTTTCGAAAAAATCAGCTTAGCAATGAGCAGAAACAGATAGATAGACAACCGAGTGATCCTAAAGGAATTCCGTTTTTCTGTTTTTGATACCGAACCCTAAAAAGGAGTAGTCGAAGAAAAAAAAGCACACAGCAAAACATCAGGTTCTTACAAAATACCAAATTTAAAACAAATATGAACTTAAATATCAACAGTTTAAGATTTAAAATAGATAAAAAAGAAATAGTTTTTTTGGTGTATTCTGATGTGGTGTCCACTAGACCTTGAACTCACTCTGGAAACATTTTCATCCCTGAGAACGATACAGTGATGGTCCCCCTCACGGCCTATTGAGCCTCCATCTTTAGTGATCACGAACAAAGAACCCACTCTTAATCTAGGCAACGTAGTATCCTTCACAATAATACGCATACACGGTGGATGATTTCTCGGTACCAAATCTGTAATAATGAGTTTCATTAGTTTGTAACGTTTAAATAGTTTCATTTTTAAGGAGGCTCGGTGGCGTTCGGTCTACCATGTTGAGGTTAAACAACTTTCGTAACGGCCTGTCATGGGATGGGTGACCGAATATTAACACCTATTCCTTCGCACTTAGGAAAGCACGTTATACCGTTGATCAGGGCTGCGTCTACAATGGTTAATACTCTGGTGAGTGTAACAGCCCTGACCAACGGTATAACGTGCTTTTCTTCACCTGTAGGCCAATTCTGATAAGGTTTACGTAATAATCGCATCTCAATAGAATCTTAAATACTTGTATTTTACAATTGTACTATCTATCTGAAAGCCTATAGGCTTGTGTTGTGTTTTATGGTCTATCTATTTGATTTCATAGGGAAGACTTTTGCATCTTCAGTTGGAACACTAATAAGCTTTAGATGATCACTTATTTAACTTTAATACTATTACAAAATACGAGTTTGAGTTAATTTTAAAGATTCTAAGTACTATTATTAGTCATGTAACAATTTCAAGTTGAGACTTAATATTGTTATAATAAGCTCAAAACAAGCTAATTACAAATAATATATTAAGTCTTATAGTATTATTATTAATTATTACCCACATATCAATTGCACTTAAGCAGAGGTTTATGCTGTAATTGAGACACAAACTTACAGCGCGCGCACACCAAGTGAACGTGAACTTTTAACTGTAATTTTCGTTCACATTGAGCTGAAAATACGCAGTAGCATACTAAGAGCATGGCACCGTAAAAGTGTAAAAAATTATCACGCGAGATTGTATAAATGTAGGAAAATTGCGTCAGAGCACATTGCGCGTAGTGACGCAGTACTAAGACCGGCCGCGAAATGTCAGCGCTGTGCCTAGTTTTCGTATTGGTTACGTAATGACTTTTTTATTTTTTTGTTCACAGCTCCAAAACTAATTGACCGTTTTTAATAATTCTTTCGCCTACAGGAAGCAACGTCATACGTGGTTGACATAGGCTATAATTTACGCGAACAGCTAGTTGCATATAAACTGCGTTACGCTCGCTTACAGTCAGCGGCTCACGATCAGATTGGTGTGAACGCAGCTTTAAGGTCAATGCATATCTAACGGTAACGGAACAGAATTGAAAAATTTATATTCAATCTTGCACCCACAAGCAATGATCCGTCAACTCGTCGAGCGTGGTATGCATAATTCCGTTGATACTCTCGACGGATTTACCATCAGATGTGCGTCATATATACATTATTTCTATTATTAGGAATAATTAATATTACACACTGCATAGAATCTAATATTAAACTAATAGAAACTATGATACAGCAATGTACACACCGCAGAATTACCATCAATGGACTTCCACAAATAATAATAATAATAATACTCAATTGGTGTTCACATTATTGCCAGCAAGTGACATAAGATTATATAGAAATTAAAAAAATAAAACAAAAATTGGCGAATTCAATACTCTAACCCCTTATATGAGATATACATACAAATTAGATTTCCTACACTTATGTTTTTGACGCTCTTAAATATTCTTTCATCATTACCATCATCACTTGCTGTTGATGTGCTATCACATGTTTCTTCCTCTTCAACATCTGAATATTCACTTTCGGTGTTACTACATTCACCATCTTCTAAATCGTCGATTTCATTTAAATCCACTGTTTTAGCAGATTCACATATCAAATTTTCTTCTTTTCCAGTTGCACCATCTAGCACTTGTTTATCTGGGTCTTGATCGCTTGATGCATTGCCAGCTTCATCTACATTAGTTACCATGTCATTTTTCTCATCTATACTGATCTTTTCACTTTCCATTTCATTTTTATCAATTGATGGTTCCTCATTCACTTTCTTCTTCTTCTGTAACTTTCTCCTCTTCGATTTGGTAGTGTGTTTGCGTCCATCTTCTTTTTCCTGTAATACAATATTCAATTTGGTATTTGGGTAGCTATTTGTTCATTTTATTTACCTAAGGCTGATCTGCCTCGGAGTGAAACCTGAGATAAGTTTTTCATCAGGTTTTCAATGTCATCTTCCGATCTCCAGTCCTAAAAATAAAACAATATTATTACCCACAAAAAATTAAATAAAATAATATTATAAACAAATATTCAAAACAAACCGACAATTGATGAGAGTGATTTATGATAAAAATTAATAAATTAAAAGATGTACTTTATTTAAACGTAAATGATAAAACATTATTCAGGGTCTAACATATAGTATGTAGGATTGTAGATTTATATCATAAGCAAAAGCGAAATTCGTCTGCGCAGAAGCCAGCAAGCTAAAGCTGATGGCATATGAGTAGTAATGTCATTGAACTATAGACTTCAATGCGTAGGTAAAGGTTTTAAGCCAACATTAATTAAATATTACGACGTCACAATCATAGTAGATGTACACTGGAAGACAAAAAACTATCAAAGTATTTCTAGAACTTTGACCTGGCTATATAAATAATCAGTACATTTAATTCTAGTAGCTATATCTCCGTCGCTTATTTCTATTGTCATCAACAATGTCGAGGATGGAAACTATGATGAATACATTCCATCGTAGTAGTGCACTCAATTACTCAATAGGATAGTAGAACATAAAAATACTATTTCATTTAATTCTCGTGATTTTTCAAAATTACATACATAATTCATAATTCTCGATACCATGGTGAAGCTCATTGCTTTTACACTTATACCACAGAAGTCACGTACCCATCAAATGTGACTTGCACTACACTCAATGTGCTGTACAAGACAACAACAATGCTATTTCATAAAATAAATAATTGTAAAATATAGAAACAAGGACTGTCGCCTCATAACCCTCAAAGTTTTGTATCGCTGGAGTGCTATATCTAACTAAAATACTCAATTATAATCCCACACTGACTAATCAATAAGGCATAAGAATGTAATTTAAACCTATTTCAGTTAGATAGTTGTTAGTAGTTTCGATGAGTTGCGTCCTCATCAATTAGTAGCAAAAATTTTAAGCCTATATCCACGTTAGCGTGAAAATGGGCTAAAATTTTTCACGCCTTTCAAATTTGAAACTTCTGCGCAGATAAGTCGGTTCTAATCTATAGACATGATTCTATTGTATAAAGTTTGTATTACCATAGATCCATAATTATTATTACCTATGTCTACACCAGTGCACTTTCAATTGTATCACGCAATTCAACTTGCGTTTTAACTTTACGGTCGTCTTGCGTCAAACAGTGCCTTAAGACCCATGCAACTTAGCGTCTATATCCGTGCATTTGTCGCGTGCAGCGTGCCATCTCAAACACCTCGATTAATTCTCAAGATGGACGCGGTATTTGCTAGTATCAATTTAAACTTAAAAGCAAGTAATGTTGCAAGCGAATCCAACGGTGACAGACCAACATGCGAGTTTTGGCGGTGCTAAGGTATGCGTTACGAGTAAAACGCAAGAGGGACGGGATAGCGTACTGGTGTAGAATACCTATGTTGTCTACTAGTCTAAGAGACCGTGATAAAAACGTGCATAAACTTTCTAAAGCTTTATATTTCAGTATGTTGATGTAAGAGTATAATCACTTAGTACTCAGTGCGGAGATGAGATGCTGGGACACCTGGTGGCTGCAGGGCAATGTAAAGTGCAAAGTAAAGTAAAATACATATTTATGGTGTTTTTTAATAGTTTCAAATTTAAAAAAAAACTAATTCTGTAAAAAAGTAGACTAAACTGCTCAGATTGCACAATCGTAAAACAAAGCGACTCAGTAGATCTCATAAGTTCGTATACATAAAAGATCTTAAACAGAGTTTTGTTATGGTTGAAAGATAATTTATTATTAAATTATTAGTAGTTTGTTCATAAAAAATACTCAGACTTCATTTAATGAAATAAATAAAGCAATTGCTAGTAGCCAGAAATAGAAGTTTTGCATCGTCGCCACTAGGTGCTCTAGCGCCTGATCTTCGCACTAAGTATTGAGTAATGAATACTTTTTTAACATTTGACGCTGGAAAGCAAACACGTAATAACATGCAAAATCAAAATGGAAATATTTATATTTTTTCCAAATAAAATATTTTATTTCCGTATAAATTGACTTAGGAACACCTATTTTATTATCATGGACATTTATTAGAATTATTTCTAGAAAAAATCAAAGTTTTTCTTTTTTCAAAACAGTTTTTCAGGCAATTTTAGTTTTACGTGTTACTCTGTGTTTGCTTTCCATTGTTTACATTAAAATATCAAGTTTTAGAAAGCTCTTGTTCATTTTTTTATAAGCTCTCAGTCTACACCATATATCTGTTAACTTTAATATGTTTAAGTATCAGAATAAACATCAGAATGTCACCAATCAAAGGGTCTTGAATATTTTGGCTGTCTTGATAGAATATTTATTTCTTTTTGTTTTAAATTAGTAACTTTTCCACTACTAAAAAAAGCATTTGATTCAATCAAATAGAGTGGCTCGTATGCTTATGTAAAAGTTTCGCCAACTAGATGGGGCAATATATAAAATATACTTTTCCATGTTGTTTCATGTCTGAGTGTTGTGTTACCTTTGTTTTTTCAGAATTGGGGTCTTAGCAATGTATGTAACATTATCTTATATTCATTATACATTAATATTCATTGAAGCAAAAAAAAATATATAGGAATCAGTGAAAGTGTAGTTGCATGGTAGACCCACAGTCACTACTAAAGTGGCTGCTAGAATACAATGGCTCCATTATAAAATATTCAAAACCCTTTATAAATATTTTGAATATAATTAACCTTTTTATGTTTTCGAGCTTTCTTTTTCTCATGGGCAAGCAATGCTGCATTATTAACCTCTTGACTTCTGTCTGGGTATGAGTGAAATACAAAAGTTTGTTTCTCATTTGAATAATAATAGTAACAACCGGTATCTGTATGGTAATATAGACCTAATTCCTGAAAACAAAAGTATTAAATTTAGCATGTGGATAACTACAATTTTCTATTACTTTGACATCAATATATCCTAATGTTATAAAGTGATTTGAAAAGTGTCTTCTTCTTTTAGTTTAGACCATTAATAGCAAAGCTGAAATTGCCCCTCAGCCCCTCACCTATGGTCTTGCACTAAATGGGGCCTTGTCGGGAGTTCTTGATACTTTTCAATATTCTCCCTGAGTACCATCATGTTTATGTTGTTTAAATTTATTTTTATTTACAGAAAAATATACAATAGGTTATTGGATATTAATTTATAATAGTTTACAATAACGCTACTGATGAAGTAAACTAAAAATATCTGATAAAACTCACAGAATTGTAGTAATAACCAGTCTTATAGTCATAGTACATGCCAGCAGATTCTACATACACCATTCCAGTCTGTTGTAGGGCACTTTGAGCAACCTCTTTCACTTGTTCTGCTATACTAACAGTTTGATCATCTTTGCTAATATCCCATCCCAAGTCTTTCTCCTTAACATCTATGTTACCATTTTCAATTATGTTTTTAGCAATATTATTGTATAGGATCTCATTTTCAGTTGTTGTGCTATCATCGGTTTGAGTACAGACATGTAATTGTGTACAAGATAAATCCTCATAGAGTGTCTGTGTAAAGGAATCAACATAATCCTTGTTCTTTTCTGTCTTCATCTGAAATGGATTAGATATCTCTCCATTAACATTAATTCATAAGACAAGTAATTACCTATGTACCATGTTTAAAAATATGTCAAATTCTGGGACCTTTTATTTATAGTATATAAATTAGATTATAGTTTCTTACCAGGGTTTTAAGTTGAAGTTTCATATTCGATATCAAAAGATTTTTTTGCCTTATGCATTGTCTCATTTTCAAAATTTTTGTCATGATTTCAGGTCTATATTTTAGAGATATGCGGAGCTTTCGTAAATCAAACTTTTGACGACACTTTTTTTTGATGTCTTCTTTTTGCACAGAATTCATGATTATGAATATAAATTTGTTTCTTTTTTTTCTGCTAATAATAAATAATCGTGTCTAAGACACGTCGGTCTTCAAAGAAGGAAAGAATCAACAAGTCTCCTAAAATTCTAAATAAATAATGTAACTTGATGTATAATGTATTTAAGACAGGAACTTATCGATGTTTTAAAACATCGATATTATATTTTAAAAATTATAACCCTTTTGTATATCATTAATATTTTTGACACCTCAGTATTTTCTAATCGAAATGAATTATTGATATTATTTTAGTATTGTTGGTCGGCATGTATCTCTCCATTGCTTTGGAATACTCTGAACAGTTCTTATTTTGAGCATTGGGTGGCAACTACATATTATATGGTGGTTCTGCAATTTTAAATAAAGCTTGAGTGAATTGCTAATTCTACAAATCACCGAAATAAAACGATTTTTAAATATTATAATTTTTACTTATTTATTTAACAATTGAATATTTTGTAATCAATTTTATTTCTTTATCAATATCATTTAATAGATATCAAAATGACCATAATTAAATTAGATTATTTTTCTTGATAAATATCGATACTGCTGAACATTTTTAAATTATACTAATCGATATATTTTCACACGTGCCCATCTCTACTTTCTAAGGCGAAGTATTTATTCTGTGGCGAAGGGATCTTGTTTATATTGCCTGGTATAATTTATGTTTTATTGTGCAATGTTTGACGTTTGATGATTCTTTTGTTGGATTGGAAATAGAACATTCGACATAATGCCGACTGACGACGACAGCTCAGCAGCACCATAGATAGACGCATTTCCGAAACTTCGCAATTTAGCCAATTATTCCTATTTTATAATTCACTAGCTTTTGGCAGCGACTTCGCCCGCGTGCTCCTTAGGGAAATGTTTAGTGAGATAAAAAGTATCCTATTATCTAAGTCTGCTAATACCCTATCTGTATACCAAATTTCATCAAAATCCGTCAGTAGTTTCGGCGTGATTGTCGGACAAATTATAATATTAATTATATATTATAGATTAATAGAACTATTTCAAGATTAGGGTTGTTACGAATATCAGCATTAGCATCAGCTGGCTGATTATCAGTATTGTTTTAAATATCAGTATCATCATCCGAATCAGCGACAATCGATCCTGATTTTAATGCTGATATTCAAGTCGTAACCTTTTTTCTTTTTTCTGTGGTTGAAGACAAGACCGAGCGCGACTCTAGTGTATAAAAATAAGCTGGTACATGCTCGCGCATTCGCTCGGTTTGTCAACCTAATTTCCTTGAAGCTGTCAATTTAAATATCAGCTGTTCCCGCGACTTTGCCTGTGTTATTTATTTGACTATTTAGGGAAAACTATTTTATAACTTTCAGTATGATCATATTAAACAGGATTCAGTGATAATTATCGCAATAATAGGGATGATGACTGGGTAAAAATGCAATTCTATTTAGTCCGTCAGTCAGATAATAGAAAAATACTAAATATGTATTTTTTTTTTTTACTTCAATTTAACAAGAAATAGCTTAGATAACAGGCATTATAGTTGAGGAGTGGGGGCTTGCTACGTCACAGTTGAGTAGAAAACGTACTATAACGTGACGTCATGCGAAATTTCAATTCCCGTTATTTTATGATTACGAAAAAAATAAAATAATACGTGTTTAATATTTTTTAACACTTTACCTGACGGACAAACAAACAAAAATTAGTCGTCATCCCTATTACCCGTTGTTGCTCTATTCTTATGTAAATGATACCCTAAAGAATATTTTGGAAGGAAAGCAAATAGAGGAAAAGTTGTGGATTTCATAATCGCAAATAATAGCCACTGTTCACTAGATCAATTTAATTATTTCAAAATAAAAGCTCATAAATAATATATATGTGTGCGTATCCAATGAAAAGTGTTTAAAGTAAAAGTATAGCAAAAAACAAGAAAATATAATAAAATGATGAAAATGGTACGGTTTAATGTGGACATTACATTTAAGTACATTGAATTATCGAAATAAGAAAAACAAAGTAAATGATGGCAAACAACTTCATATTGTATATCAATAACGCTAAAAAGATCTATAAATGCAGAACTCTACAATAGTATACAGTAGAAAAAAAACACATCCAAATAAAAAATTAAATACATTTTTAGCTCATTTCGTTCAATAGTCCCTATAGTTTACATTTGTTAACCTTATACCTATGGTAATAATTAATTAGACAAGTACAAAATGATATTTCACCCTTAAAATATCTATTCATAGCCTATAACTAGAGTCAGTTGTATAATTCATTACGACATTAAGTTAATTTTATTGAATAGTGTACACATCATCTAATCGTTTCGTTTTAACCATGCAATAAACAGCGATTCGTTTCAATATCGGCGCGATGAAAGCCTGTTAAGGTCATTCTTATGATGGCATAGTTACGTTTCATTATCGTATCATACTTCGTTGAAATACATTAAATTGACAATTAATCTTTTCAAAGAGAAAATGAAAATAATTTAGATTTACGTTTTATATATAGATCAGTCTTTATTTTCGTCCAATAAAATCGTCATTAACAATTCAATTATGATGAAAATAAACATATACTCGAAGTATCGTCACTTTTTCCTGATCTAAATGTCCACAACAGGCTTTCAAGTATCAAGATCAGCACCCTTTACTACATATACATCTTTATTTCGCATATACATTTACACGCACACTCTAACTAACATATCATGTATGGAAGATCTACGCTAAAGGCTAAACCGTTACATGTTCGATATGTTTTTTTTTTATTTAATTATATAACAATTTTAATCAATGGCACACACTTAGCCAAAACTTATCTCGAGTGATTAGGTTTGCTCGAATCACTTATTACAGGTATTAGTTCATTAGAGATAATGTTTTTATTTATTTAACAATTTGATTTCATAAATAAAATTATTAGAAGTGGAGAAATTAATTGAAATGAATACAAACTATTTGTTTCAGTAAACAAGATATGCAGCAAATAGCTGCTCTCGGAGAACATACATCCTCGAATTCAAATTATTAGTAAATAACTATACCTTTAGTATATCTTTACAAATAAGCATGTGACATTAACGTTTGTGCCATATCAATATAGGTGTAAAACTACATTGCATTCGATAATTGTCGAAGTACTGAACGCGAGGCTGGTCGCCTTCGTTGTGTACCATAATTTATTAAAGTACCGATCAATGCTTAACCTACAAAGCTAAATAACATTGTCTACTTCAACAACAACGTTAGAGTTAGGTCTTTGTAAAGTCTCCAATTTCATATAATTGAAAGGATCAACACCTTTTTTGTCATGTCATTAGACAAGCTAATCCATGATATTATTTGAAAATTCTTACAGCCAGTTGCACAAATGTCCATTAGTTTAAAGCGACATTACTCATACAAATTTGACATGTATTAGTCTTTAAAGGCGTCGTTAAACTTTAATGGACGTTTGTACAACTGACCGTAAGTCACAACGTGGACAATTCCTTGTTTTGACCAATTATAATAATAATTTTCATATAGTAAATGCATGTTATGTTAAATAAAAAAAACCGTATACAAATACAAAAATAAATGCTGCCAAGTCAATATAGGTAATCGTTAAAAACTTCACAATAAATTAATAGTGGCAACTGAATTAAGCGACTAGTCGTTGATGTTATTTCGATTGGAAAGCCAGGCATTTTTAACGAATAATTTTTGATATCGATTCCATGCCGTCGATTTAATGGTCGTTACTGTGATCATTGCAAATAAGAATAAAATGTAATTTAACGTAGTGAGTGATTTAAATAGTAGCGGTTTAATATAAGCAAAAGCAATGACCGCAGGAACGGCTCATTATTAGAAATCCTCTCGAATTTTGAAATACTTTAAACGAGAGATAACTATTACTTTCGACATGTTAACGGGTCTTTTGCATTTCTATCTTAAAAATACTTACTTAGTGAGGCAGTGTCTTAAGGCGGGACGTATGGAGGGGGTTTTCTGTATGTAGGAGTGGCTTTGGGCCGTGGAGGGGTCCTAGTTGCTGCGAAGGGTGGAGGAGGGCGATACGGAGCATCGTCCCCGGGCCTATAATCAGGCGCTGGGGGCAATAATGGGGGCTTTTCTTCCCTCATTATGACGGGACTCTTGTGGACAGGTTCCGTGTCCGTGCGCTCCTCTAGTTCATCTTGAAATATGACCGGGATGCCTTTAGACCGGAAAGCTTGTCTCTCTTCTTCGTCGCCTACGCTCATTTTACCTGTAAAGTAGAAATAGTGAATTTAGAATAGACTTGTGACCTACAAGTGAAAATACAGGTTTTTGTTATATCTTTGAAAAATATGAACCATTTTAACTTATAAATGTTTAACAGAACAAATTTTTAGTTTAGTGGAAAATATTACGCTTTGAAAACTTGAAAAAGTAGAGAAAATCTACTACAAAAAGTTGCTAAAATACATAAAGAATTTAATTATATATAAAAAATGTTACAACTTTCATTATAACAGCTATAAACATAAACGCACAAATAACAAAGACATTACAAAAAATGTCCAGACGCCCATACATTTTTCGCTACTGTAGCACCGTGTGACGTCACTGAGTGCCTTGAATTTGTAGGGAGTGTTTTCGGCCAACTAACAGCAGTTCTACAAACACAGCACCGTATCTCCGAAACTATTAATATCAGACATGCTGTTACTTCGACATTATTTCTCAGATGTTAATGGACTAATTATTTATGAAATAAAAAAAAAGTTGTCAACTAGCCTTTTTAATGTTACGAGTTAGGGTTCGGCATAAAAATCAATGCCGATTTTATTTACTTAAAAATTATTCAAGACCAAAATCTTATTTCTAAGGCTCGATCGATACCATCTAGAATATTCTAGGTTGGCCTCGGTCCTACCGGTGTATTAGAGGTATTTACTAAAAAGGTCTAGAACAACTATCCGTCTCTGTTTTCCCCAATAATCGTCCCTTTCTTGATGACCCGATGTATACCTATATGACACACGTTGTTTCAACAGTGTTAGCGCGGTTCATTGGCGCAAAACGCCATCTAGTAATGTGTAGACGAACCGCGCCGCTGCACTCCGTAACACTACTAAATGGTGGTTGACACGAATCCATTGGGCGTTGTTGCAGAAAAAATGTAAAAAAAGCAATAAACAAAATGATATATTTCTTGTATATGGACCAATAGTTGAATTAGGTCGATTGAGACCTGCCCGAACATATCACGATATGTCGCCTTTTCTTGATTTGGCTATCTATCATTCAATACTTAACGTTTGACGCTTTGCCCGACTATACTTGGGCTAATCGATTTTGTAGGGTGTCCAAAGTACTTATGTAAGCAGAAATAGGCAACAACCCGGGTTGTCTACTACCGTCCAACTCTATATCTAACTAAGCACATAAAATGATAATATATAATTATTTGACTGGTAAATAAAATGATATAATTCTTAATTATAATATTTTCATAGCTTACTTTCAGTTACCTACCCTTACGTAGGGATGTATATATACATCATTACCAAGTTGCTCCAAGCCAATCCTATCTGTACGTGGTCTTCTTACTGATTGACGGACGGACTCTGGCAAACCGATTGATCGTTGGATAACCACGTTTATTTGACGCAGCACACCAAAACCCTATGCTGTTGAAGGCAGCAGCGTCATCAGTGCAAAGACTGCGTTCTGCGATCGCCAACGCGCATGCTCAGCGTGGCGATTATGGGCAAATACTTCCATGGCTGCACACAATCAATTGAGAACCCAGGTTCCCAGCGATCGTGCTATTTCTGATTAAGACGGCGATCATGGTAACGGTAGGGGTAGGGAATGCTAAGAATCCCCGGGACGGAAGACCGCCAAACACAACTTACCCTGGCGACGTATAATGGAAGCACGTTACGGCTCGACAATCATCTGGCGCAACTAGAAGAACTTGGAAGGATAAATACATCATTACCAAGTTGCTCCAAGCCAATCCTATCTGTACGTGGTCTTCTTACTGATTGACGGACGGACTCTGGCAAACCGATTGATCGTGGGATAACTACGTTTATTTGACGCAGCACACCAAAACCCTATGCTGGCGAAGGCAGCAGCGTCATCAGTGCAAAGACTGCGTTCTGCGATCGCCAACGCGCATGCCCAGCGTGGCGATTATGGGCAAATACTTCCATGGCTGCACACAATCAATTGAGAACCCAGGTTCCCAGCGGTCGTGCTATTCCTGATTAAGACGGTGATCATGGTAACGGTAGGGGTAGGGGATGCTAAGAATCCCCGGGACGAAGACCGCCAATCACAACTTACCCTGCCCTGGCGACGTATAATGGAAGCACGTTACGGCTCGACAATCATCTGGCCCAACTAGAACTTGGAAGGATAAAGAGTCACATTCTTTAGTTATGTGAAGTCAGAAGAGAGGGAGAGGACAATAAAACCTCGAAATCAGAACAGCTCTTTTACTTTCGAGTGGGTGATCAGCAATCTCAGAGTGACGTAGGGTTCCTGGTGAACAAAACCCTTTCTGATAGCGTTGTAGAAATCTCTTGTGTCTCGAATATGATTGCGTAGTTCACAATTAAGTTCACCGAGAGGTATAAAGATTGTGCAGATTTATGCACCGGCCTTGGCACACTCAGATGAAATGGAGGATACTTTCGAATGCATATACACTCCACCACAAAGGCTCACTACAACATTGTCATGCGAGATTACAACACCTAACTCGATAGTAGGATCCTATGGGTTTGCTTGTAGAAATCATCGGGGCCAATTGCTAATCAGTTTTCTCGAGAAAGAGAGGCTCTACATGATGAATTTGTTCTTCAAGAAACAGCCTCAAAGAAAGTGACCATGGCGAAGCCCCGATGGCAAAACTAAAAATGAGATCGACTTCACAATAGCGTACAAGAAGCACATCTTTAAAGATGTTTTAGTGATTAATAGTTTCAATACCGGTAGTGATCACCGGCTATGAAGCTCTTTGAATGTTACCATGAAGCTCGAACCTTTTCGTTTGATGAATTGTAGGCTCCGACCAAACTTGGTCCAGACTATAGTAAGATCTGAAAAGTCAAATCTAAAGTACCGATACTCTGCGGTGGAAAACAAAAGTGCAGTTCATGTGAATTAGGTGCTCGAGAGTGTAGTCAAAATTTTAAGGATTTGTCGCAAGAGATTATGTGAAATGCAGCGTACAGCTAAGAGGTAAAAGTTTTCAGAGGAAACCCTGCGTCTCATTAGTAAGAGTATAAGTAAACTGGCAAGACGTGACGGGCGCTCTGATACGCGTTTTATTGAACAAGCAATTGTGCACAATCAGGGGGCCAAAAGTATTAGTCCAGCCTCTTGGGAGAAGCCTTCTGATAAAGTTGACTACTAAAAATGGAGGACTGGTTGCGACAAAGCAGAGAATCCTCTCAGAGATTGAGGATTTTTATAGCCGAATGTATGCTTCGCATGCATCTTAGGCTTGCGCCCAAAGCCGACGATGGAAGAGCCATACTAACCCGTCACTTTACAGAAGACTTCAATCAGAAATCAACCATAAAAGCGAGTATGGCATTACGACTGAGCTCGTAAAGGCAGGCGGTAAGCCCGTAAGAAGGGACCTTCAAAATATCTTTAATCTTGAATTCTTTTTAAGGGGAGAACACCAGAGGCATGGAGCAGGAGCGTCGTCATACTGTTCTGTAAGAGACAAAACCCGCCTAAAGAACTACCGACCGATCTCCCTCTTGAGCCGTGTTTGTAAGCTGTTTTCGAGAGTTATAACAAATTATCGCTCACGAAGACTTAACAAATTTCTATAACCGGAGCAGGCTGGATTTCGAAGAAAATATAATACCGTAGATCACATTCACACAGAACGGCAGATTATACAAAAAACAGATAAGTATAATCGGACCTTGTGTTTAGCATTTGTCGACTAAGAGAAAGCCTTTGAGTCAGTCGAGAACTGTTCTGTACTGGAGTCCTTGTAACGGTGCCAAGTCGATTGGCGGTATATACAAGTGTTGAGGTGTCTTTATAATTCACTTCATAATCAACAGACTGAGCCTATCTCTTTGAACCGAGGTGTGAGACAAGGGGATGTTATACCTACCAAATTGTTAACAAATGACTTAAAGGATGTTTAGGACTCTGGACTGAAACAAACGTGGCATTATCATAAATGGCGTTCACATCTCACACTTGCAATTTGCTGACGATATAGTTGTCATGGTTGATACGTTGCAGAATCTACAGCACATGCTAAATAACCTGACTGACTCTTCTCTGTGCATCGGGCATGACGAACTCCCATGTTATTCCGAGAGCGATTATAGTACAAGGCAGTGTCCTAAAAGTTATTTAAGTATATGTTTACCTTCGCGACTTCTATCCCAAGTCTAAAGACGAAAGCCTGTGACGTGCCTGTTATGACATACGGAGCCGAAAATTGGATACTCACAGCGGGACTTGTACATAAAATGAAAGTCACCCAGCGAACTATGGAGAGGGCTATGCTTGGAGTTTCTCTGAATTATCAAATCCGAAATGAGGCGAATCAGCTAGTTGAAGCGACAATGGGCAGGCCAGATTAGCCATAGAACCGACAGTGGGGCAAATAGAGTGGAGACCGCGGATTGGAAAGCGTAGTGTGGGACGCCCTCAGTCTCGGTAGGAAGACGATCTCTGCAGGGCGGCTGGCGAAAACAGGATGCGAGTAGCCGAAGATCGAGTTCGATAACGAGCGCTTGGAGAAGCCTATGTCAAGTAGTGGACGAATATGGGCTGATGATGATATGAAATCAAAGTCTATTATAGCTACATTATCTACTTTAAAGTTTTAAATTAATAACCAGCAATTGTTAAAACTTTCGGGCCGATCGCGATTTTCATGGCCAAATCAAAAAATGGCAGCATATCGTGATAAGCTCAGGCAGAACTTGATCGACGCAATTCAACGATTGGCCCACGACAGATATAGACCTATGTCTATTATAGCTATATAACCTACTTTTAAGTTTTCAATTAAATACCCCAAAGATTCCTTATTGTTAAAACTTTCGGATATACATACATTGCCCCTTACCTGTTCGTCGTCTTCTGTACAGGACACAGGCAATGATTCCAGCTACCAATATCATGCAGACGATAACCACCGCTGGTATTATGAACGTAACCAAGTATCCATTATCCGCACTAGCGGTCTTACTGCTACTCTGGTGATTCACAGAGGCGGGATGGACTTGTATAGTCGTCTTTGGTATTTTGGTGTTTTGTTCAGCGCACAATCCTTGAGGAATGAGCCTTATTGACATAACTTTAAGGTCTTTATCGAACACGTGGTCGACGTTTTCCTTTAGGGCACCAGCGGAACCTCGGTAGTCTACTATTATCATTTTACGTAATTCCTCTATCTCCTTCTTCGGGCACCTGTCCATTGGCAAGCTGGTGTTGTACCTGTTAATAAAATGAATAGATTAGTAATAAGTTTACATGGTTGACTGACTGCCGGATCAACGAGAAGTCGAGTGTGCAACATTCAGTTTTACTAATATTATAAAGAAGAAATACTTGATTGTTTGTTTGTATCGAATAGGCTCCGAAGTTACTGGACCGATTTTAAAAATTATTTTACCTTCAGGAAATGACATCATACAAAGTTGACATATACATATGTTCGTTCGTTAAGAAACAATTTTGGAAAATTCAACTCTCAGAGGTCAAATTAGCGGTTCGGAAAATTGTGTAAATCTATAAAAAAAATTGGACTAAACCTATAAAACTGCTTACCATATAATCGTAGTGGGGTTGTCAGTGATTTTGTCGATCCTTATATTGTCCGTGTCTTTCTGTCCGAAGAGAGCGGCTAGTTTCTCTACCACCTTCCGTTTGTTGGTAGCATCGTATGCCAGCATAGGGAAAGGATATTCCATAGTCATTTGGAACTCGACAGTCGGCCGTATCGGTGGTGCTTTGAGCACTTCTACTACTAAACTGTCGTACGCGTTCTTTTTACTCGAATCTTCAGCTATCTGTTGGGTAAATATTTGTCGATTAGATGAGTTAGAAGTTGGAATATGAGCAGACAGAAGTTATCTGCGCGTAACATATATTATTTAATATTGAGTATATCAATTCGACACTTTTATTAATGAAGGTTACAGTGGAAGAATGCTGGTTCGCTAAGCATAAATCTTAACATTTTCAATAGTAAGTAAAATTTTACTTTCTTATTGCATGAAACTGGTTGAATGTCAATAACTCTACGCGCAGTATGGTAATGGCATGCTATCGTTTATGAATAAAAACATGAAGGTATAAATATTGTATATTAAGTTAGCTATCTAGACTTATGAGATCGCCGATGTTCTATAAATAACCCTGTATATATTAAAAATAATTATTATAAGGCAGGCGTTAGCGACTTCAGATGCAACCTATGAACAGCCCTTGCGAATATTGCTTAATTCTGTCACCCATGGGAAGCTACATTATATGCAGTGAATTTTATACCGAAAAACAGCAAATTAAGGGATGAAAATGGAAGTGATAGTTTGTATAGCGAATCAAAATGTTACCACAGTAACAATCGTTTACTATTCAATTTGTCATTGTAATTATAACCGTCTTATGATACGAATCGATGTCCAAACTAAACCAGGGACCACTAGGGCGAAGTCGCTGGCGGAAAGCTAGTATAATATAATTTTGTAATGTTGTTTGTGGTGAGAAATAAATAAATGATTTATTACCGGTAAGATATCTCGGTGGCGTAGTGAATAAGCGCCGTGGCCTGTGATCATTGTTAATAAGCAACTTTCGCACAGGACATTCACGGGTTGGTTGGCCAAAAAATTATTATTTCGAGCTACTCCGTGCTTCGGAAGGTACGTTAAGCCGTTAGTTCCGGCTGCATTTTCAGTCGTTAATACTCTCCAATTCGCATTAGGGTTATGGCCTATTCCCCTTCACCATCCATAAGGAAGGCCTAAGCCCCTGCAGTGGGGCGTTTAAAGCCTGATGATGAAGAATTACCAGTTGGTATGGCACGCGGCCCTCGTCGCCGGGTGCGGGCAGCCCGTAAAACTCCTGATTGTTGGCGTCGAACTGTAACCAGTGTCCGGGCGGCAGTTCCGATCTGTCATCGTATCGAAGACTCAAATGCAAGTTTCTAGTGCCACCATCCTCGGGGTCGAAGAACGTATCCTAATAAAAATGACATAACACACGTTCAGTTGGCCAATAGTGATGAGGATTGGTAAAAAAATCTATTTAGTCCGTCAGTCAGATAATAGAAAAATATTAGATACGTATTCTTTTCTTCTTCAATTGAACAAGAAATTTAATTTCATTTTATTTATTAATTTGCTACAAACTTGGTTAATAGAATTTCAACGACTTGAATTTTACCATTGTAATATCTACCTAAAGTGCAATATTATTATTACAATTTCTTACTCAAAAAGTGACATATATAATAATATCGGACTTCAGATAGATAGATAGCACAATGACAAAATGTAAGTAATTGAGATTATATTTCGTAAATATAAATATCGTAAAAATAAACATAAATGTAAATATGGGAATTGACATGCATTATTTACGAATGTGTAAAAAATCAGTCAAGAGTGAATAGGACTTACGCGCAGTGTGGTTACGAGCAAATATTAAATACCATACATTTATTATAGGTTTTTTTAGGCCCATTAGTAACTAACTTTTCTTGTAATGTTCAAATTTACTCCCAAAAAGAGTTTATTAGTACAGTTCATGGACCAGCGATCCACGGTACACAGCTAACTTTTAACTCGGGGCGTATACTTTAAGTATCCTTTAAATTGACGATTATTTCACGATTTTTTATATGCAGTATGGTAACATGCAATACTTGCGTTTATACATTTAAACACTAACCCCTGGTACTTTGTAAAAAACAGGTGTCCATCGAGGACCCGCAGATAGTAAACCTGGTTCCTAGTGACTGCCTGGATGTAACTAGCGTTATGGTAACATGCAACATTTGCGTTGACAAATTTAAACACTAACCTCTCGCACTTTGTAAATAAACAGGTGGTTAGCGCTGACCCGCAGATTGTCCACCTAGTTCCTAATGACTGGCTGGATGTAACTAGCGTTATGGGAACATGCAACATTTGCGTTTATAAATTTAAACACTAACCTCTGGCACTTTGTAAACAAACAGGTGTCCAGCGGTGGCCCGCAGATGGTCCACCTGGTTCCTAGTGACGGGTGGGTAGGTATCGACCGGGGCGTTAGTGACCGGCACTTGTCCTTGTGCACACGGTCCCACACCCACCCATGATACACCGCTAACTTTCAACTCTGGCGACATAGCGCGAGCTAAACCCGCCGACGGACTACCCGGTTCACTGTCTGACTCCATTATCTGAATAGAGAATAGCATAGCACAATCAAAATCGTTTGGCACAGAAATAAATTTTATAAATCTTGCATTTACAATGCTATACTTAATGTAAATTGCTTTAAAATCCAGTTTGTCCCTGGCACTCTGAGATTTTAAGCATTTTTCATTAAAAATATTTTTCAGTATAACATTGTGTATGCAAAATTGTTCAAATATAATAATTAGGACAAATTTTTATCTTTATAAAAACCTTTATAATAAGCAACTACAATTATTCTGTATGTCAAACTTGTAAGTTATTTTGTATAATGAAATTTTAATTTAATTAAATAATATGAATTAATGAATAGGTGTTTTTAATAAATTTAATTAATTATATCTGGGTCATTATGCAATTACTTATTTTATGTTAAATATACGTGCTAAGTACGTTAGCTTGTACAAACTTGAAATTACTAAAAATAAAACAGGATGAAGACGCATAGAAAAATGCGATAGAAAGACGCAAAATTATTATATGTTAATTGGTCAGGGAAACAATTTATTAATTGCTAATTGGTGGGCGATATATGTACATTAAAAAGAGCTGGTCTTTGTGGCCAGCCATCGAAGAAGAAAAAAACTTTTATTTACCTTCATAAGTCGTTTTATATCATCCTTCGGACATGCTGGATCTTTAGGCAGCGTATCATTGGTCCACACAAACTCGCATATGTCACCGTTTTGCGTCGCATTCAATACCGTCAAGTGATCCATATCTGTATCCCGGAAGAGGTTCACTAAACCCTCCAACGCTTTTATCTGCCAGTCTATAGTGTTATTGTAATCTCTGAGCAGCTTGAACTCCATGACAAATTTATGGTTTATCGTCCGACCGCTCTTGTGCTGTTGAACGGTTATATCTAGTGGACCACGCGCCACTAATCCTTCGCTATCTTGAGCTTCGACTATGAAGTTCCAGCGAGAAACGTGACGATCCAATGGTCTGAAAAAAAGTTGTTAATAAGAAGAAAATTTATAATCTTAGTTTTATTTGGTGCGTTTTGAACTGATGCAATCGTTTCGTGTCAAGAATCGTCAGAAACTTCCTCAATTGAAGTTTAATGAAAACATTTGACATTTTATTAGTTCTTTTCAAATAATGTATTTTCTTCTCGTTTTTTAGAATAGATTGTTTAAGAGAGTACATCATTTTTAAACAACATTTTATTTCATCAAATATAAAATTATATTGAATAGTGATGTACCATGTCTGGGTCTATTGCCAAGGTTTGAAGATTTTGCTGAGAACATTGCCGGCAGTATTCCCAAAGTGGGAATTAACTGGGAACATTGGGTAAACTTTCTATATTTTTTAAATACTTTATGTTTATTTTCATTACTTCATGATTATATATGTACTTGAAAATATCGTAATAACCAAAATTCCCAGCAATATTCTCAGTTTATTGCCAGCAAAATTCCCAATGGTGAATATAGAAGTAAATACCTACAATACCATTACTGAACGAAATTCAGTGAAGCATTCTAAATCAAATCCAATCAAAATATTCTTAAATGAGTTCTATTTATTTATTTATTTTTTTTACTTTAATGCATATGTGGGAATGATGAAAATAACCTCTATGAAATATAAAATGATGTGGCAGATATAGTTAAAATTATGAGAAATTATAATTAAAAGCATGCTACGTTTATATTTTGTCTGAAGAATTTATGCAAATGCACAGGGACAACCTCTTCTAATATATCCACTGGTATTACTATACAAAAACTCCTTGAGATATAAAGCTTATTAAAATAAATATATCGTGTATTCGCTGGGTGCACGACGACAGCGCCAACTAGCGTTTACAATTACGTCTGACTTTGATATGTCAAATGGCTGGCATATAGTACGAAGAGTATGTAAACATACAATAATTTCAATGAAATATCGTTATTGAATTCGATAGTGTTGATATTTTTTATTTGCTGTCAAAAATGCCACAATCACTAAATTTCAAATAGTACACCATGATCTTTCTCAACAGTACCAATATAACTTACAATCCATAGACTTCTCGGCCAGACGGTATAAACTGTATCCAGGATGTCTTGCTGAGGCGGATACTGTCTGCTTCGTACATGGTGAACGTGAGGTTACTGCCCTCCTCGGGATCGGTAAACAAATCAGCTGGTATTATATACCTGAGAAACATAAATATCAAATAGTCATTTTATGAAATTACATATGTGGTGTTTGTGAAAGTATACACTACACTTCTATTCACTTCATATAGTAGTTATCCTTCGACAATACAGGTTCTTGAGAATCAGTACATATCTGACGGAAAGTGCGTCGCGTTTGCGGAACGTCAAAACAGACAAACGATTTGACATTCATCGTTCTACGATAGACGCATCATCAGTGAGTCGCATACTTTCGAAAAATGCTTTACAGACTTTCCGTTAGATATGTGATGAACGTAAAGTTGTGTTTAAATGGAGAAGGAACAAAAAGAGCTTAGGAAAATTAATGTAACATAATTTATAGATTATACAGAAATATAGTTTCAATATAGCCAGAAGCTTTGACCAAAATTTTAATTGAAGGGATTAATTTGACTGAACCCAAAGAAGATCCGTTCAAGGTCATATCTATCAATCTATAGATACTACGCACATATAGATTTGATGAAAAACAACTATTTTTTGAGTTACATGTATTTTTTTGATGTATGAAAATGGTATCTATAAATCAAGTTTCAACTGTTGAGTTCTAATAGTTTCGTAACTAAGAAAAAATAGTATAGCTGTGAGATACTTATAGACAAATATAAAGAATCTACAAAAGTTATTTTTTTTGTAATTCTTAGGTTTTTGTAATCCTACGTTTTTCCATAAACTTACCTGAAAGCTTTGCCGGCGGTGATGGCTAGTTTCTTCATGTGATGCTTGAGCGTGGGCGGTTGATTGACGGGCACGGGTAGCGTGACCGGTGCCGGGAAAGTAACCGTTTCTGTCGTACGTCCGATTATCGTGCTAGACTTCTCACTCGAAGCGACTGGCTCCTAGAATAGCGGCTCCCATCTTTAGTATTCATATTTTTTGCCAACAATTAAAACATATTATTTTATCTTAAATTGGTGACCGAAAATATTATCTCGGGCTACTCCGTGGTTCGGAAGGCACGTTAAGCCGTTGTTCCTGATTATGCCAGCAGTCGTTAATTCCTTCCAATGCGAATTGGGCCCGCGTGGAAGGTCATGGCTCATAATACTTAACCATATATAAGAGAGGCCTGAGCCCCTGCAGTGTGGACGTCACAGGGCTGCTGATGAATCGTAATTTTTTTCTGTATTTAGTTTTAAGATATTTGCTTAATACAATAAAATCTGTAACAATGTCCTGTAAATTTATATCCAACGAAAACTGCCTACAATTGAGGATATTAAACAAAGCGATTCATTAATATTTTTAATAACAGATAACCTATTTATGTTGCTACAAAAATTTTGTACATAATGTGCTTATAAACACTTATCTATAATAGGTATCAATGAAAATGTAAAAAAACAGAAATTAAGGTGAAAATTTTTGAAAAACTCAACCACTTTTGTTATAGTTAGAATTGTGATGTAAGATAGAATTCGGTGATAGTTAAATTTTAAATGCCAATTCCAAAAACACCCAATCCAATAGGAAGTTAGTATCAAACTAATCATACTGGTACATGTGCAAATACTTACATTAACAATACTTACGAATTATATTATCAATAAAAAATGCTGTGGAATATATTATAAATTAGGAAAAATATGTATTTTTTAATGTACTATTGAAAAAAACATTTATATTTTTGTCAACTATAATGTCATGAATCCTCGGTAATTCTAGTGTTCGATCTCGGATCTATAGGATCAGGTCGCATAACGTTTAGCTCACAGTCAGATCAAATTTATTATAATCAAATACGATAAAGCACTAAAGAATTTTATGCGATAATTCAATTCATTACAGGGAATTTTCTAATTAAATTATAGATATAATTTAATATGAGTAAGATATGATATGATTTGTTAACTTGAGGTCAATTAAAATTAAATTGACATGGAATCACTTTTATGTTTTCTTAAAAAAACGACAATATTTAGACCGAGATAAAATAAAGAGTAAGAAATTTATCATCTGCTGACCCTATGGAAACAAAAAAAGCCTAAAGAATGATTTTAAATCTTACTACATATAAATAAAGTTCATTCTCCGGCGAAAGCCTGTCTGTTACAAACCTGCGTCGTTGTTGGAACCTCTTGGGTCGTAGACTGGACCACAGGCGTGGTCGATTGCTCCGTAGTACTCGCCACCGTAGTGTTAATCGCCGTTAATACCACTGGTGGTATCACTGCCGATACCGGAGATACCGACGTCGACGATACCGGAGTAGATTCCGGTATCGGGCTTGACGGTATCTCGGATGACGTCATCGGCATCTGTGCCTCCGACGACGTAGGCAGATTGTATGTCTCGCGTATTATTACTGTTTGCTGAAAGTGCCATGCCACGCTCACGAATGTGTAGTGAGTAGACGCGAAGACAACGGGTGGTTAGAGATAGGTAGAAGGTTCCGGCAAAGACTGCTTGAACACTGGTCAGTATATACATATTTACAATCATATTCTGATGCAATTATTTTTGATTTTTTTGTAGAAAACAACATTGATATATCTTTGATGAAAATAAGTATGGAATATACGGAACTTGCCGGTTTTTATTTCGTCACGGCTTAATAATATGTGCGCTTAAAGTAACTTTATTCAATTACTGTGGGACAAAAACTGAAACAATACACTGTGTGATTTCAAAAATATAATAGTAGGCTAAGATTAATAGATCTTAACTAGTATTATAAGTAATAAGTATTATTAACGTAACTAGTATTAAGTATTATATAATTTATATTAGTAAATTTTGCTGTCCGATTAGTGTGTAATTCGCAATTTTTTATAAAAACGCACACCATAGCCAAGAAAGGAACATCATGCAGTATAGTCTTGATCCGCTCACGTATTCATAGTTATCTCGTACGCAATTAACGTACGAAAAGAGAATAATTTAATTTACACAACGAGTTATTGCCTAACGAAGATGTAATTTGTAATGGAACGATTAGTTAGACGTTGTAATCTTAAACTTGCCGCTCTTTCCTTTTTATTTTCATCCAAGATATCAATCAAAAACAATGTAGCTTATATTTTCTGTACACTCGTTGTCTTTACGTGATGAGTCATTTTTAGTAAGGATTTTTCTTCTATGCATAGCCCAATATGGAAGCGAAGAAAACCATTTGAAATAATTATTAAGGATCAAGTAAAAGTATGAAATGAAAACCGGATTGAGCTATTTCAATGAGGTGTTGTGTAAAAGGGGCGCAAAAGATTACTAGATTAGAAATACGCCACACCACCAAAACTTTCCCAGTCATATCAAATTAATATTAGTCTCCACTAATAACTACTAGTACTGAAAAATGCAATGAGTCTACTTCAAAAGTCGCTAAATAGTTTAATACTCCCATATCGCGTTTTTTAATAGTGTAATCTACAATGAAATCACTGTTTTGTGAATTTGAAACGGTACTAAAGTATTCAGTGACTTTATAATATGGTTAATTGTTAGTTTTTTACTTACCAAATCTATTTCAGGCGTTGTAGGTATTACTACTGGCATGAAATCTAGTTTTTCTGGTGGGAATCGTCTGGGACTAATAGGTGGCAATTCGTGTGTATAATTAACGTTGCTAGGCTCCGAAACAGGCTCCGATATAGGATCTATCTTCACTTCAGGTTCCTGTTGAATAAACAACTTAATGAGTGAGAATTTAATCTCTCTTGGCTTCTAGTACTATCACTAATCACATGCTCTAATAAAAAACACTAATATATGTAAGTACTTTAACAAATTAGTATAGATTGACAAACATATATGTTTCGTGCACCAGTCAAAAGGATAAAGTTAAACATAACTACTGATTACAATAAAAGTTTATAAAATGTTAAAATATACAGTTAGATACATTATATTTAGCTATCACAATAAATTATATAAAATTAAATATATGTATATAACAAAATCAACTATCTACAACAAACTCATATAAATTAGACCTAATATTTTTCAATTTCTCGATATCAATTATATTGAAATAGATTTTAAATATTCTTAATCAATCTGATGGAAGGAAATTGAAAATAATACGTCGATTTTTATTTATTATTGGTGGTTACAGCTAATATAAAGACGAGCATCATCGTTATTAGTGAACACCACAAAGCTTAACATACAGGTGAAAGAAAAGCATCGCAAAAACACACAAAGCGGAGAGCTGTTTACGACAAACCTCCGTCTTATACGTATTAGTAGAGGCGGGCTCGGGACTGGTTCCCTCGGTGGTGGTGTGTTCTTCTGTGGTAGTTTTAACGGTTGGGGATTGGGTGGTAGTCGTGGGTATTGTCGTCGGAGGGTCAGTTTGGGTAACCGGGGGGTTAGTGTGGGTACTAGGTGGGCTCGTTTGGGTCGTGGGTGGGTTCTGAGTGGGCACGAGGGTAGGTTCGGTAGCCGTTATGTGGTGGTCAGTCGCGGCCTGAAACGTGTCGATGGTGTGTGTCGCGATGGGGTCGCCGTGGTGGTGGCGGTGGGGGTGCGGGGAGGGGGCGACCTGACGCGGCGACATACACACACACGTTAGTACTGCCACCGCTTTGTAGCGTTGTCTGTGGTTATTTTAGGCGCTTTTGTTGCTTTAAAGCGAACCGTTGATCATCAAACATGTCTTTATTAGTTGAATATGTAGTCCAGTCTGTTTTTAGTGGCATTTAAACAAACGTGTATACATAGCGGCAGTGTATAAGCGACATCGGTTATTTTGTTTTGTTAGGTTGGCGTTTTGCTAGATTCCCGTTCTTATATACAGTCACATAAGAAAAGCAAATTCGAAGCAGCATTGTCAAATAACCACACACAAAGCCCACATGTAGACCAATAAGAAAATCCTTCTTAATAAGTAGAATAAAGGAAATGGCATGATATGACGGTGGTAAAATGAGAATTGTGTCTTGGGATGAATACTGTAGAATGATTCCCGTATTAGCAAATCGAATAAGAATTTAAATTATGCTATTTAATTGTTCTGAATATTAGTAAAAAATGTTCCAAATAACGTTTGGATGTTATACCTTCGCTTAATATGTTTTTACACCTCGTTATAATAAAAAGATAATAATAGACAATCTAAACTCTGTGAAGGGAAACCAGTCATTCATTCAACATTCCATGCTATACGTGATATTGCCAATGCCTCTATGAAATGACAAGTGCATTGTAATCATTCCATTTTCTTGGAAAACAACTAGTTTTTATTCATTGGAAACACACGACAAAATCGTGTATCGAACGAAATTTAGAAACACTGGAATTCATATTTTTAATGGAAACAATTGCAAAATGTATTTCATAATTGTTTTTTGTGATAATTGGACACGAAAATATTTTTGACATTACAAAATGATATGATCTAACTGGATTATAATAATGAATGAAATGTGATGAAAAAAGTTCCAATGAATAAATGAGATGCAAAGGGACTAACATCGCATATGTATGATAATCATAGCAGAAGTAGTGACAGATAAAATACTGACAGTTGTTTAGTGACTCATATAACGCATAGTTATAAAGATATAATCCCGTTTAGTGCTACCCAATCCCAAGCATGTGGTATAAAACTGTCTTTACAACTATGCGAATTTCAATAAAGCATAGAGCATAATATTTCATAAACATTTATAAATGTTTATTTAAAACGTAGTTATAATATGTAAATATTATACAAATAGTTATACGGACTCTTAGATGTAGTGGAGAGCAAAGTATGTAAAGTTCTTATGCTCTATGCGTATCAGCACCCTTATTTGTTTTTCAGAAATTCGATAAAATGAAATACATAATCTATATTATGAATAGAACTGCCTTTGTAGACAAAAATGTGCAAGACCTTTCTAAAGCTTAATATTTCAGTATGTTGAAGTACTTAAGGGTATATAACACTGGTACCTAGCGCCGAAGTCAGGCGTTGGAACACCTGGTAGCGGCGGTGTAAAACATTAACACAATCACTTTTGCCATTATGAAAGTCTTTTTCGTAGCTATTTTTCATACCAACTTCTGAAATTTTCTGGATCGTTGCGTTTTACCACTCAGTAATTTGAGCTGCCTAGTCTTTTTTTTTATATAATTTTCACCTTTAATATGTATTACGATTATTCGTACTTTACATTGCCCCGTCGCCACCAGGTATTATAGCAATTAACTTTCGCACTGGGTGGTGGCTGAGTGATATATAATTTTAGTACTTCAACATACTGAAATATCAAGCTTTAGATAGCTCTTTAACAAATTTGTGTCGCTTTCTTAAGGCTATTGCTTTCACAAATGTTTGACAGAAAAACGAATGACAAATAATCCTTTCAACAATAGCATTATAATAATGAATAATTTGACAAAGTATAGATTTATTAAATGTTTTTCTTGCAAATATGATAAACAAAGTATGCCGTTTGTCTTTGTGATTTTACAGTAAATGGCGGTATATAAATTATTATATAGATCCCACGATTTGACTAGTTCAATTAAAAAAAAAAAACAACTGCAATAAGTAGAAACATAAGGAAAACCTAGCCATTTCTGTTCAATCGATCTACTTTTCAATAAAGTAATATTGAGTAGTCTGTATTTATGCTTATTTTATCTTAAATATTATCATATTTTATTATAAATATAATCTTTTATTAAAATTTGTGATTCGTTTTTGTTGTGTTCCAGGACACTTTGCCGTTTAAGTGTAAAAAACACATATATATTGTTTAAAGTGAATACAAATGAACTGAAATATATATATATACTTTTACATAATTATTCAGTATAATTTTAATGTTTTTTTCACTTGTACGAGTACTAAATGCGATTGATATGTATATTAGTGAACGAACAAATGTATGATGATTGCTCACTTCTCCATAGCCATCATCATATTCGTCGCCGCTGAAATCATCTTCACCATCGTCGGCATCACCTTCATCATCATAGATGTCGTCCAGACCCGAACCCTCATCCATATTCGACTGTTGAATGAATGAATGAAATGAACGAATGGATACTTTATTATGAATCGTAATTGGTATGACTATTGATAAGTAATATGTTGTATTGAAAAACTCACTAACCTTACCATCAGAATTATTGAATGTGATCTTTTTATTAGGAATTAATCATTCCTTTTGACATACAGTCAACAGCATGCCAGGTTATACAAAACTCTCAAATCTCCTCACTCGAAACCTTATTCAATAAATTAGAGGTCAAAATCCTCTGTAGAAATTTGACATAGTGTAGTAACTTGATGTGCAGCCGTGTGTATATTCAACAGTTCATAGGGTTACAACAAATATATTATTTCTTTTCAGTTTATTCTCAACTTTACATTTAACACGTTAAGGTTTATAGCTTCATGTGGAGAAATTTGTCAGTTTTGTTTAATACCTGACGTGTTCTAGGTGATTAAATTATGTAGTAATTATTATTTTGGTGTTCTAACTCAATATTTTAATGTTGGTATGTATGTTTGTATGTTGTTATAGTTTAATAGTAAAATCAGCACCTTTATCTCCAAAACATCATGAAATGACCGAAAAATGGTACATATACAACATGTACATACCCATACCGAAGTGAAGTCATAGACAATTCTTTAAAATGTATAGAGTTGAAGAGAAAATGATACGAAATCGTGAGACCAGCCAATGAAATAGGTGATGACGTAATGTGCTTAGTTAAGCGTTAAATATTATTTTCAGTCAGTGTCAAAAGTTCAAATTATTAAGTTCAAATCATTAAGATTATTTTACATTCGCTTAATATCAGGCTTCGGCTGCAAAGTGACTCACAAAAATATAGATTTTCGAACAATTTAGACGTCGAATTACCCGCTTCTAAAATCGGCTACTGCAGGCTTGAGTGCACAGTCTTCTGGGGGCTCCATCACTGATCCTATGCCTTCAGAAATGTATTGATTAATCGACATACCTGTCGTTTATGTCGCGGCAGTGGACGAGCTGCGGCAAGTCTCCAACCAAGTACCGGCAGACGTAATAGATGCTCAAGAGTACCGTCACGAGATTGCTCCCTTATACCCGCCACTAAGACTTTGTGCCGCGACCATAGTTTCTCTTCACATCCCACCTGTGTATTCAGTAAGAAATTTAATGTTGCAGAGCCCTTGTACCAAAGTAAAAAAACAATAGTAGATTGTTAATACAAGGGGCTAAAACGACCCATTGTATACGAGGTAGTTTTAAGACAGACGTCTTGGTAGCTATCTAATAGGTAACAGTTATTAACAACTTCACACATTTTTACTTAAATATTTAATAAAACCAAATTGTTGCAGTAGTAATACACTAAAGAACTACTAGTTTCAAATTAGAAGAGCTGTCTGAAAAGATCCAAAACCGTCAAGTATGTTTGTGCGTACCTTTTTATATTAAACCCCGTATGATGTAGCTACCCGTTAATTTTTAAAAACGGTCTACTACTTTTGATCTTTTAAGATTCAGAGTGATTGTCGATTTTGCAGTTCAATTGTAGTTCTAATATCAAAATTAATGAAATCATGCATACGTTTAGATAGATAGCGGTAGTGGCGTCGCCTCGTTTTCGCTGTGAACTCCCTGGGCCCGTCATGAGTATGTTCTGCGTCTGCTCAGAATCGGATTTGTACGGCGTAATCCAGAACTCTTCCTAAAAATGATATTTCTTCTTATTAAGTAACATAATTGAAAAAATCATAATCGGCTAGTTACGCCGTTACGCGAAACATTCCTTAAACGATGGAGTTGTATGTCAATATTTTGAATGTGCTTTATCTCGCGCTATTATTAGCTTCGTAGGTAAGTAAGGTTTCGTAGTCAACTTCGAAAAATGCCACACGTCACGATTTCTGATGACTATCCGAATGTCACAAATTTTCTTTCTCAAAAGGTACACTCTGTTCGTATTTGCAGTCCCTGCTACTGGGGCTGGCCTTCCCTATGGATAGGGTCCCGTAAAAATTACGGGACAGAGTTCCATCACGCACGACTAGTGCAAATTGTGGGTCTGGACCCGGTGGGCTCCTTGCCGGGTCCCGGGTCGTTCCCCCCCCTGAGGATATCTGGAGCGGGTTTTATGAGATAGACCGGCCTCGCTTAAGCCTGTCCTTTTCAGGAAGGGTTCGGGGTCGGAGAGCTTAGTTTAAGGCTTAAGGTTGCTTTGTCCCTGCGTTAAAAAAATTACAAGTGAGGATTGGTGGTTGTAAATGACAGTAGATGCAATCGGGATCAGTGGCTTAACGTTCCCTCCGAAGAACCGAAGAAACAATTCAAGGATTGGCTCATGCGATGTATGGTCAACCTTAAAAATTGCGGAACGAACGCATCTAACCACTTCGTTATTGCCCTTCTATTGGAAGGAATACAAGATTATAATAGAAATATAAAAAACTCATGACACGCGATAAAGGAATGTAAATTGTGATTAAATTACTAAAGTCACGACAGAGGTTGACTGTTGGATTTTTGCATGATACATTAGACAAGATAGCACAATAAACACAATACATATGAAGACATATAGTATGTAAAACTATCATATTTGTTACGATAAGATTGCTATGTTACCGATAATATTAGGAATAGTTTATTGCAAAAAAATACAGAATGAATACACTTATAACATGTTAATGAATCAAAATTGAAATACCTAATTATGCACACATTGCCATGTAGTTAATATAAAGTTCGTTAGAGGATCAGGAATCAGTCCGGTTTGAATTAATCTGAATTGCATTTACATCATTTAGGAGCCCAGAAATGAGGAGCGAAATATCGTAGAGCTTATATAAAATAAATCTTTTTCTTATTATAGTCTTTCAAAATAATTTTAAGTATTAGAAAAAGACTTAAATGAAATTATGAACTAACTAACTAACTAGTTATGAAGAATAATGGCTCGAAAAGTCACATTTAATAAAAATATTTATGCTAAACTTTTACAGTATCAATATCATATAATTTAGGTTACCCCATCAATAGCCATGAAGTTGGAGAGTTCCATGAGCGCCCGGATCCGTTGTCGTGACGATATGTGTTGGAAGGCTCCATCTATTAGAATGATTAGTATCAAATGTTTTTCGTTCCCGATGCAGGTGCCGTATTTAGAATGAGGTTTTTCTTCTGATTTTTTCACCTGAAATGCAATATTACAACAATTAAATTATAACTATTGCTTTTAAAAAGTACAGTCAACATTTATAAAACTGTCATATTTTTCAATGTAATAAAATTAAGTGGAATGGAAACTTTGCGTTGTTTGTAGAGCTCACACTGGTAATTCGACATATTTTGGTAGTCTGACGTGTTGCATGTGGATAACTCTTGATATGTTTATACGTACTTATTTACATACTTTATAATACATACAATAATGGTTGAGAATATAAAATAGAGACCGCATGCGGACTGCGGGTGACTCCGCCACATAATTTTTTTGTTTATATTATAAGCCAATGATAGTCTACACCCCGTATGCGATTGTTATTGACTTATATTCTATTGCCATAATGATTATTATACTCGTCGCATTTTAAATGATTAATATATTAAAGCGACACACTCGCTATTTTTTTCGTCACAGTTTTAACCAACCCTTATCGGCTATTCCATTTTTTGTGTTATTCTAAATGAAAATATACGAAATTTAATATCGATAAGTGTAAATATGGCTAAATAAATCCTTCAATCTTAATAGTATTCGGGGATTCAAACAACTGGCCAATTAAGTATTATGCAGAATAATATTTATTTCTTAACACATTATTTCAAATAATTCTTGGGGCATCGTGATTCTGATAGATTCCGCTCGTGTTACTATTAAAGACCGTCCTATACCTGCGCAACGACGGTCCCGTTTTTTGAAAAGAAATTTAAAAAAGGTGAGTGAGTACCTCTATAGTGAAGGAATCCGTGGCTGTGAGGCCGTGAGTGCGGCCGTGCGCGGTAACAGTGAAGGTATGCGGGCCCAGGTCTACTGGCTGCGGAATGCCACTGATCAGGCCGTGCTTTGAATCCACGGCCAGCCAGCTGGGCATGCGGCGGTCATCTTCACGACGAACCTGCAATATTATTAATATATTGACGACTTTTGTAGCAGAGTGATTCGCATGCCGGTTTCAAGGGTTACCATCACAGAGGTCCGATTACCAGTCGGGTTAATGAAAAAAAAATAATTTCATCATATTTTCTCGGATTTGGGTATTATTGTACCTTCGTTGTTTCAGATACTCCATAATACGAAGGCTTTAGCTATTCAACGTCTAATATTAAAAATAAGTATTATATTTCCACAGTAAACTAATCCTTTTTTACAAATTTTGTATATCAGAAAATAATTAAAGTCTGACGACTCTGGGCTTAGAGGTTACTCTAAAAAGTAGTAGTAATCGTATGTTGAGTGACTAAAAAGTTTAAACTTGATGCTGTTTTATTACCTTATAAGCTAACACTTCTCCGGTGAACGCTTCTTTTGGTATTTCCATTCGGAAGAGATGACCAACATACGCAGACGTGTCTGCTACACCCCATAATCTTTTTAGGCCATTTTTTGCTATTTCTGAATGATTTGCTGTTAGTTCAAGCTGAAAATCGACAAAAAAAAAATCTAGTAAAATTTTATATCCTACTAATATTATAAATGTTAAATTTTTTTTTGTATGGGTGTTTGTCCGTCAATCTACTAGTCATGCCGAAACTACTTAACGGATTTTGATAAAATTTGGTATACAGATAGGGTATTAGCTAACTTAGATAACAGGATACTTTTTATCCCGCTTAACATTTCCCTAGGGACCACGCGGGCAAAGCTGCTGGCGAAAGCTAGTAATATAATAATTTCAAAACTATTATGATTATTATGACATCGCAATGTAATCAAATGAGAATACTAAGTATATAGTGATATTCACAGGTAATATTACACTAGTTTCTATTATATTACACTCTGAAATAAACATATATTATAGTTTTCAGATTAACTTATATAAAAACAAGTAACAGAACACAAAGAATTCACTTATCAAAAACCATATACCAACCTGAAATTCTTCGCTATTATCAAAAGCGAAGTCGTCGTCGTGCCGGCTCAACGCTAACGGGCACAACAACAGAAGAGCGCACGCAATGTATCGCGTCCAACCCATATCGACCACCGACGCTAACTGCACACCGACCGGGATCAGCTTACGTTCATTCTGCTCATCTAGTGACAATAAAAAAATATCGGTCAAAACAATAATAAACGCAATGACTCATTGTTTAGAAAACATGTGGTCTATATATTTAGGTTCGACAAACTGTGCTGCGGCTGCTGCCATTTCATGCTAATAATACCTCATGATTGATAAACATTACGTTATGGCCTAGATTACAAACAATGTAAAAACGTCTATGAGATAAAGATGCAAGTAGGTATGTACATACAACATTTACTTTGATTCTTTTGAAACAGAGATTTTCTAAGATATGCGGATGTGTTACGTATTTTATTTTCAAAACCGTAATTCAAAGAAAACACAATTCTACGTAAGGGTTTTTAGTCTTAGTATTTATTAGAAGTGATTTATAATAAGAAGATTCTTTTTTACTAAGATTTCGCATAATGATGATACCCGAGCTCTGCCAGTGATATAAACTCTAAAAGTAGCTCCAAAGGCTAAAAAGTCACACATTTATCAGGTTTCACTACATAATGGAATAAAATTACAAACAGAAATGGAATTTCGTTTAATTTCAAAGGCGAAGTTTAGATAACGTTTTACCAACTGTCGATGCTTCGATGAAGTTAAAATATCTCGTATAAGTATACATTTTTAAAAGATTGTTTCATCACGTTAATTTTTCGATCGTAAAGAAATCTCGATTTCTTACTGCATGTATGTAGGTGAATTTGTCTTATGTATGTGAATTTGCGTGCGGACATAGACTTAGGAGATACCACAGCAGACTGACTGGTGGTGGAAGTGACAATGTTTTACAAATATTATAATTTAGGCTTAAAAGATGGGAAAACAATCCAAAATCCTATGAAGCACTTCAAAGCTTATCGAATACATGGGATAGTATAAAATGTGAGGTAATGAGAATAGATTTTGTGTGTGATGTTTGCAGCAGTGGCGTACGGGGGCCCTGTACTATAATTCCTTTGATCAACGTTTTGGTAAAAAATACATAGATGATTTATTTTTATAGTTTGAGTGAGATTGTGGATATAAGTTTAAAAATGTTTACTTACACATATCAGGCTTGGGACAGCTGGGGTTTGACCCCTGCCAGGGGAAGCCAGGGGTCAAACTGTAGCCGCTCTAAGCAAATATAATATTCGCCATTATGAGCAATATGTTAACCATATGTACTGGGGTTTCCGAATGAATTTATAAATGTAGCATTTTTACTTTTTTTCTTAGGCAAAAGAGCCCAAACAGGTCTCTCTGAGCTTTCTGAGGGACACTCTCCCTCCGCGTGCGTGTGGGGTCCCTTAAGGCTCGTCTCTTAAGAGAAAGTGTAGCTTTAGGTTTAAGTGGGCCCCTTATCATTTATACGGTGGTGGTTATGCTCCTAGTTTAGATGTACCAAGAGCGACATGAACCCAAATAATTCAGTTATTGTCCTTGCAGCTTTGTTACCCATGAGAACTCGTGTGAACGTAGACAAAATTTTCAACAACTCATCTGTAATAAACGTATAATTTGAACGTAATGAAGTAATAAACCCTTCAGCATTGATGTAAAATTTACTTTACTGAGTACCGGTGTTATAATTACAAAATACTGGTGAACTGCTGATATAATAGAACATTAGAAAAATTCATGGAAAATTCAGTTTTAGGTATCAAGGTGTACGTAGAATTGAATCTACTTATATTTTATGCTTATAGATTTTAAACCTAATATTTAATTGACATCGAAAAATTACTTTCGAGGAAACATTGAAATTACAAACAATTCAGTAGTAACCACTGGTTTTCTTGTAATAGGCAACACAACTTTGCAACGGTCATAAGTTCTAAACGGAAATGGGTTTCGCGTGCAGGCGCATAATGATCGACTACGAGAATGTTCCCTGCCTTCTGCGAGCACTCTGTCGAGAAAACTAATTGAGAAACTATCAGGCCCCTTTTAGTACCAGCTACCACGTGTATAGTGCATCTTCGTATAGATACGAGCATGATTCCACTTCTAGCATATAAATAACGAATGATATGTCTTTATAAGAACATTTTCAGTAATAGAAAACTTTTTCTTTTATGTGACTTCATGTTGTAATATGTAATAATAAAATTCTTTAAAGTTATAAAATGACCAAAAAATGTTAATACAAAATCAATTCGGTTTACTCGCTTATTTCAGTTTAACACAAAAAAGCAAGAGGTCATAATTAACATTTGTATGACAATAAAGTATTTAAGGAAAGTAAACAAAATCGTCAAGGTGGTCGTAATATAATCCCGGAGACAGCGAGACCCTCCAATTATTCTCAACAAGCATGCCGGGAAACATTAGGAACGAAAGTACTTGAGAATAAACGATTTTTCGGTAGGTGCTTTACTCGTGTTAAGATAACTAAGGCCTTTATTCGGCGTGGAACAAAAACAAATCCGTTATTTATTCAAAATGAAAACTTTGAAAGCGTTTGTTTACTTATTTGTAAGCAGCGACGAATAATTTTGCGTAATTATTATTAAAGATTTGATTTTTTTGCGGCCTTATTGATAGTGAGTAATTGTATTTTTATTTATTACGTAGAAGTTAATACCAGCTTCTACTTAAGTAAGTTTTGACTGTGCTATCATTGTGTAAGTTTTTGTGTTTTATTGTGAAAATAAAAATACATTATTATTATTATACCAATGAAAATAAAAACAATTTGATGGAAAACAAGTAGATATTTTTGTCCTGTCGCTCGCTACACATATTTGGTTGTAATAAATGTACAAGCCACAAAAAAAAACACGTCGTTTTTTTAATGGCTTCTCATTTATATAATGAGAATCAATCACTGATGAGCTTCAAATCATTTTATAAGTTTGTGACCGACCGTTGTTCACAAGCGATACGAATTTTCAAGAGGCTTCTTATAAAACTATCCAACATTGTCAGAGTTTTAGTTCAAACTTGAAAACCTATTAAATAACTTACTTAATATTTTTATGGAATCCTAGCAAAATGTATGTATTATTGTATATTTCAGGACCCTTGGTGCAAGAGTACGATTTGCACTTACGCGATTTATATTACTGCCATACCATAACAAGGATTCTGTAAAAACTAATTCCAATTTACAAATACAGCACTGTGACATATTCTCTTTGCAGACGAAGGAACACTTAGACATAGGTAGTGTTACGGACGGCGGACATGAAGACCCTTCCCCGCAACCTCACCCCCGCAACGAGTGGAGGGGGCACACCACGGGCAGCAGCGACGGGAGCACCCCCCCGCGACCTCCCCGCCGCATAATGGAAGGGGCACCGACATAACATGAATCTATTAGGTCAATTAACGCGTTAGGATAGTAGCTAAGTGCGAACGAACAAATCCCACTTAAGTAAACCCGATTTGTATGAAAGCATGCCTACGAACGTTTTCGTACTTTGTACTACAAATAAGAAGAAAGAATAAACGCCTTCAAATCTCCAAACTGTTGTTTCCATCCCCAACAGTTTTCGCTGGTCCTTCAAGAGCCGGATAAGGAGTTCGCTGATTCTTCAGAAGCCGGATAGGAAGATCGCCGAGCTACAGTTTGCTCGTCCGAAGCCGGAAAGAAGAAAGCGTGTTCTACGAGCGTCGAAGCACTGCAAGATCGGTACAGTGTACGTCTGGACGAGAATACGTCAGGTACAGAGTACGTCTGGACGAGAATACGTCAGGTACAGTGTACGTCGGTACAGAGTACGTCAGGTACAGAGTACGTCGGGTACAGAGCACATCAGGTACAGAGCACGTCAGGTACAGAGTACGTCAGGTACAGAGTACGTCGGGACAGAGCTACGTCTCAAGATACAGCAAGATGCCGCGAACAAGAAGCACCACTAAGGACGACCGCGCCACCGACGCGTTACTGGAGCAAGCACGCCGTGGATTATATGAGCTGCCACCCGCTTCACCCTCTGTGGTCGATGGAACAACGACCGCTGAACGCGAGAGGGATCCTATTCCCGTCGGAACCAGGGAAGGACTTTGAACAAGGGGTCACGGCACCAATCACAGAGAAGCAGCGTACTCCTACGCGTCCGGCATCGGTTCGATCTTCGGCTAGCACTGCGGCACGAATTTTGAAAGCCGAATACGAAGCCGAAAAACGGCTGTCGGAAATGAAGATCCGTATGGAGACGGAACTTATGAAGAAGAAGCTGGCATGGGAAAAAGCGGTTATACAAGAGTCGGACAACGAGAGTATCGCCGACGATACGAACGTCGAGGAACGCATCGACACATGGCTAAACCAAAGCTCTTCCATCGCGCAACACACGGAGCAAGATTCAGCGCCACAACTGGAACGAGAAGCAACGAGAACAACGCCACACCGCGTATCACGACGCGCTCCCTACATCAATGCAGGGGGGGAGCCCGAAGCGCACGCTGCAGAACCACAGCCACAACGACGACGATCGCCGTCAAGACAGCAACGGGGCATGGAAAAGCTGGCAGACGTGCTAGAGAAAATGATGCACGTCAGATCGCCGCCGAGACAAGCAACCGAACTACCCCTATTCAGCGGATCACCGATGGAGTGGCTACCGTTCAAGGCCGCTTTGAACGAATCCACGCAGCTGTACAAATTTACGCCGATGGAAAACCTGGCGCGACTTCGAAACTGCCTGAGGGGGGAAGCTAGAGAAACAGTATCGGCGCTGCTAGCAACCACTACGGACCCGGCTGAGATCGTACAAGTTTTAGAGCAGTGTTATGGACGACCAGAAAGCATCATCTGCCACGTGCTCGAGCAGATAAGAAGATTACCGAAGCTCGGAACCACCGCCGCCGAATGGAACGCGTTAGCGGTTAAAGTTCAAAACATCGTCTGCGTTATGAAGCAAATTGACAAGAAAGGATACCTCTCAAACCCAATGCTGGTGCAAGAAATAGTAGCGAAGCTCAACCCATGCGTCACTTCAAAATGGTGGGACTACGCAGAGGACCACGGATCGGATCAAGAACCAGAGATCGTAACGTTATCGAAGTTTCTCACGCGCGAAGCAAA